TTAGGGATCACTCCTGGTGGTGCCCAGAACCCCGAGGACTATGCGGTGCCAGGCACAGCCTCTCCCAAGCAGAGTTCAACCCGCTATCTCTCAGGCCCCCAATTATCTTTTCCATTGTTAAATCCCACAGTTAATTTTCAGTTCTCATATCATACCTGCAAACTAAAGTGTCCCTGTGTTACTTTCATGATCCCACTAACCTTCCTTGTATGTGCTCTCGCACTGTCTTCTTTTTGGTTTGGGTGAGGTCACACGTGGAGTAAGCTCGGGGCTTACTCCTGGCCCTGTGCTCAGGAGTCACTCCTGGCAGATCTGGGGGACCACATGGGATGCCAGGAATCGATCAAACCCAGCTCAGCCGCAGGCAAGGCAAACACCTCACTTGCTTGAGCTTTCTCTTCGGCCCCCAATGTCATCTTTGCAATCCTCTTTCTCCACCACCTCTTCCAGACTCAAGGAGCTCTCCAGCAGCAGTTCCCATTTTAGTAATTCAGTTGAGGCTCACACTTGATGACTTTTAAAACATTATCTCCCACCTCTCTCCTGAACCCCTATCTATTGTCTTCCTCCCACAGGGAGCGCCTAGATGACAAGATGGCTCAAAAATCTACCTTTAGAATCAGAGCGATCACAAGCTTCACTCCAATCAGTTCCATACCCTGCACCCTCAACATGGCACACCGCAACTCTGACGGCTGCCTAAATGGCTCCGGCAGAAATCCAGGAAAGGCAGTAGAGAAATTTTTGCTAAAGTCTGAATTTTTTAAAACCCCTCAACTAACCAATCGTTGATGGGGAGTTTTGGGGGCAGTGGGTCACATCCAGCCTAGGGGTTAATCCAAGCATAGAGCTTGGGATCCCTCCCGGCTTGGTGTGTCCCTGGGCCTCCAGCGTTCAAAGCCTGCATTCCAGTCCTTTAAGCTATCCACCCCAGGGGCTGGAGCAATGGGACAGTGGGGAGAGCATTTGCCTTACACTCAGTCCACCGACCCCTGGCATCCCACCTGGTCCCCCAAACTCTGCCAGGAGTAATTCCTGAGTACAGAGCCAGGAGTAACCCTGAGCATCACCAGGTGTGACTCCAAAAGTTTAAAAAAGGGCTATCGATCCCAGCCCCTTCTTCCTTTTTTATTCATATACGTGAAACACTCATACCTCAGAATCATGTCTTTCTCTTCAATTCCTCATTTGCAATTAATATATACCTATGAGAAGGTCTTTTAAATCTATGTAACTTGTTTAGAAATGCATCCAAAAAGATACAAGGCAAAGATAATAAATGTTAATTCCAAAATCTAGATGGTAGATCTATTATTGTTTATATAATTCTTTCCATTTATTATTGTTTAAATACTTCTTTTCTTTTTGTTTTTGTGTTTTGGGTCACACCTGACGATGCACAGGGGTTACTCCTGGTTCATGCACTCAGGAATCACTCCTGGCGGTGCTCAGGACCATATGAGATGCTGGGAACTAAACCCGGATCGGCCGCATGCAAGGCAAATGCCCTACTTAGTGTGCTATCGCTCCAGCCCCAATTCTTTCCATTTTTGTGTATGAAAATTTTATAAGAAGGGGGAGAATCTACATTCAAGCACTGTTTAAAAATACTTTTTGGGCGCAGCAGTGCTCAGAGGACTCAATGTGGTGCCAGGGAGTGAATCAGATTCAGCCACATGCCAGGCAAGTATCTAAACCCTATACTGTCCTGGCCCCCAATTGTACTTTTTTAGCTTTCCTCTAAAGTACTCTGGCAAATTAATGAAGCTGTCTTCCCCATTCCTTCCTATTGTAATTACCCTCCACTCTCAATGCCAATGTTCCCTACCTCCGGATAGTCACAGCCTCATAAACTGCCTCCACACTGTACCAATGCTGATCTCTAAGATCAATAATATAGAGCACCAGCTACGATGTAGCATTCCAAGACTAGTCTGTGAGAGATTAAGGCTTCTGCCTCAGCATGCTCTGGAATGACTGGCTCTGGGGGAATGTGCAAATCACCTAAAGGTCTTGTACAAATGTAATTTCTGATCCAGGGGCCTTGGCAGGGCCTGAGATAGAATCCTAACATGCTCTTAAGGTGCACAGACGCCGCCAGTTCAAGAATGGAACTAAAGTAATATAAAGTACAGCTAAGGCAAGAAAATGAAAGAATACAGAAAAATGGGGCCAGGGCAGTAGTACAACTGGTAGGGTGCTTGCTCTACACACAGTCAACCCACATTCGATCCCACATTCATCCTGAGCATATGGTTCTCTGAATACTGCCAGGAGTGATACCTGGGCAGAGAGCAAGAAGATGCTCCCATCTGGCTGTGCCACCCCACCCCCCACAAAAAAGCAAAAAGAAAACTGGAAAGTGGCATTTCCCCCAGCCTTATTTATGTTACTTTGGGCTGGAGCGATAGCACAGCGGGTAGGGCGTTCGCCTTACACGCGGCCAACATGGCCGACCCGAGTTCGATTCCTCCGCCCCTCTCGGAGAGCCCGGCAAGCTACCGAGAGTATTGGATATGCCAGACACAGTAACAACAAAGTCTCCAATGGAGACGTTACTGGGCCCGCTCGAGCAAATCGATGATCAACGGGAGGCCTTTACCTTTACCTTTACCTGTTGTGGTTCAGAGCTGGATCATTTCAAAATATTTGGTTCTACAGACCAGTGTTTCTGCACCATTAGTGTACATATAAATCTGCAATCCTTAAAGCCATGGTTTCTGCATTTCTCTGTGATTTCTGCATTTCTCACAACCACTCAACAATGCATCACACTTTTTGGATAGCCAGCTATTAAAAGGTTCTTATACCATTTTTGGGCTGGAGCGATAGCACAGCAAGTAGGGTATGCAACCTTGCACGTGACGGATCCGGTTCGATTCCCAACATCTCATACGGTCCCCCGAGCACAGCCAGGAGTAATTCCTCAGTGCAGAGCCAGGAGTAACCCCTCTGCATCGCTGGGTGTGACACCCCCCCCAAAAAAAAAGGTTTTTTAAAAGAAAGTTCAGTTGTGATTATATACAAATGTCAAACTTGCATGCCAAAAAGTACAATAAAGGGCCAGAGCAACAGCATAACGGGTAGGGGATTTGCCTTGTACATGGCTAACCTGGGTTTGACCCCTGGCATCCCCTAGGGTCCCCGAAGCACCACCTGAGTGGAGTGCATACCTGAGTGCTGTCGGGATAAGTCCTGAGCATCACCAGGTATGGCCCCAAAACAAACAACTCAATAAAGTTAAAAGATAAATAACACCTATGGTTTGTTTTTGTTTTTTTTAAAACATCTGACGACATGCTTTTCTTTTCTTTGGAGGGATGCCAGGATCAAACCTGGCACCTCATAGATGTGAGGCACCAACCTACATTCCCAGCCCCAATCCTATACCTGTTAAGCTTCATAATCATGAGCCTGAAAGAGAAAGTCTTGGACTAGTTTCCAGCTAAGGATACACACCCAGACTGATCACCAACCGCAGTGTCACTGACCCTGTACTCCGGTCATAGCCGACCCGCCCCTACATGCCACAGACACAGGACGATGTTCTTCACTCCTCTAACCGGATCCACAAACTCACTTTATTCTGATAACACGGCAAGTCCAAGCAGAAGCCAACAATTGAGCAAGTCTCATCTCTTTCCCTTCAACTGACTTTCAGTGTGATTTATCTACTTACAGACCATGCATTCCATTAGTCTTACCATGGGATTAACAGTCCCACAGCCTACTTATCCCACATTTAGACAGCTAAAATATGGATCTTTCTTCATAATCACATATTTTCTCTCCTCATACGGGTAGGGCATTTGCCTTGCACGCAGCGGACCAGGCGGACCGGGGTTCGATTCCTCCACCCTTCTCTGAGAGCCCAGCAAGCTACTGAGATTATCCGGCCCGCAAGCAGAGCCTGGCAAGCTCCCCGTGATGTATTCGAAATGCCAAACACAATAACAAAAAGCCTCCCAATAGAGACGTTACTGGGACTGCTGGAGCAAACGGATGAATAACGGGAGGACAGTGCTACAGTGCACCATATAATTAAAAAAAAAAAATAAACAAACCTAATAAAACCAACCCCCTTAAGTATACAAATCAGAGGGTTTTGGTGAACACAGAGGAGAGCAATCCCTGTCCCCTGCCAACTCCGGAACATTTTTTTATCCACCCAAAAAGCAAACCCATACCCTTGATCATCCCCAGTCTCCAGGAGGCCAGCCCCTGGCAACACGCTAACCGGTCCCTGCAGATTTGCCTCTTCTGGATATTATGATTGCACTTGTCAAGGAAACCAGCAAAGTGTGTTGGCCTATGTGACGGGCTTCATTTATATAAGAGCGCGATGCTGTCAAGGTTGGCCACACAGCAGAATACTAAGTCAGCGCTTCCTTCCTTTCCCAGGGTGCAGGAATTTCACGGAACCCTGAACATCGGGGGGGCGGGGGGGGGGTCACCGCGCCGCACCTGGGGCTACGGGATGAGTTGAGGCCACAGACACGCGCGCCTGGGCTTTCACGCAGAGACCTCGACAAGGCGCTCGGCCGGCCGCCCGCCCACCAGCCCACCTGCTGAGTACCGTGCTGACCGTGTGCCTAACTGGACCCTTCTTCCTCCTTCCCAGGAGCAGCCGCAGCAGCAGCGTGTGGGGAACCCCCCACCCCCGCCAACCCACCAAGGTGTTTATTCCGGGAGGGACGAGGACGGCGCGCCGAGCAGCAAGGACAGCTCGGCGGAGAGACCACCGACTGGGCGCGGGTGTATGCCGGGCGAGAGAAGCAGCAGGAAAGCTAAGTCCAGCGGGCAAGTGAGTTCGATGACCCCCGGGCCAACGGCTCTGGACCCAGAGCCGGGACGCCGCGGTGCCTTTCCCGTCTTGGGAGGTTTGCAGGCAGGCAGGCAGGCAGGCAGACAGACAGACGGACAGCCGGCCCGCCCGCCCGCGAGTGCTGCCCGGCGCCGGCCGGCCGGCCACTCGCGACCCCGGACCCCGCCCCGCTCACCTGCTGGCCGCCGCCTCCGCCGCGGCCCGGCTCCGGCCACCCAGCTCCCGGGCCGTAGTAGCCGTCGGCGCCCGCGCCCTCCCCCGCCCAGGGCGGCTCCCCCGGGCCGCCCCCGCGGCTCCGCCAGGACCCGGGCGGGGCGGCGTGCGCCGGCGCGTCCCCGGCCGCGGGGCCGTAGTAGCGGCCATAGGACGCGCTGTCGCCGGGGCCGTAGCCCGAGCGCCTCAAGGCCGACATGGGCGCTGCAGCCCCGAGCGCTTCCCGCCCCCCACGGCCGCGCACCGCGCAGGCGCCTGCCGCCGAGCGGGATTCGGCCGCGGGGAGGGGGCGGGCCAGCGGCAGCCAATCGCCGGCCAGGTCCCGCCCACCCGCGCGCCGGGCCGCGGCTCTGCGGCCCGGAAGGCCGGAAGCCGAGACCGCAGGGTAGGCTGCAAACGGAGCGGCCGGAGGAGCCCATCTCTCCGGTTTAGACCCCCCCCCCCAGTCCCCGTTCCCGGGGAGCACACGGGAAGGGAAGCCCCGCTGCGCACGGCGGCCCCGCCTCTTCCGGAAGGCCCGCGCCTGGTACTGGAAGTGGGCGTGGCCAAGATGGCGGCGCTTCCGGCGGGCCCCGGCGCCTGAAAGCCGGGGCGGGCGTGCGGGTCGGCGCCGTCCCTGTTCCCGTCGGGGTCCCGCCGGGGCGGCGACTGCGGGAGGCAGACGCGGGAGTGGGACGCAACCCCGCGCCGCTCCAACATCGCGGCCTGAAACGGCTCAAAATGAACTACATGCCCGGAACCGCTAGCCTCATCGAGGACATCGACAGTGAGTCGCCGAGGAAGCCGGGCGCCCGGGCCCCGGGTCGGGTCGGGTCGGGGGGCGGCGTGGCCGAGGCCCCCCCGTTCGAGGGGGGACGCGTGCGAGAGCCCGGCACGGGCCGGAGCCTCCTGCCGACTCCTACGGCGCCGGCCCGCACCGGGGAGGTCCACCCTGCGGCCAGCGCCGCAGTGGACGCCAGCACACGAGCAGCTGGCCGCGTGCGTGGACGCCCGGGACACGTGCTGCCCGCCGCGCGCGCGCCCTCCTGCACGGGAACCCAGGGGCGTCAGGGCGGGGCGCGAGGACGCCGGGCCTCGCACCTGTGCAGCTTGCCCACGGCCAGGGGTGCTGCGGGGCAGGGCAGGGCAGGAGAGGCCACTGCCAGGCCAGGTGCGGACCTTTTTAGCGCTCCCCTCCCGCCCCCCCCCTTGCACAGCTTTCTTTGCGTCGACTGAGACCTCCCTCGTCCGCAGTCTTGGCTCTGAAGAGGCTTCCCGTCTAGTGCAAGACGGCAGCCTCTTACTACGGTCCTTTTCTGAGCTCTCCTCTGTGAACTCTTCCTCCAGCAATGCATTTTTCAAGCGTGTGATCTGTCTCATTAACTTATTAATTGTTGGAAGGCCGGAGCGCTTGGTGCAGCGGGGAAGGAGCTTGCCTTGAACCAGCGCCTGCCAGGGATCTGGGATCCATCCACACATCGTCCCCATTCCCCCAGTGTCACCCAAAAAAGCCAAAAAAAAAAAAAATGAAGTCGTATTCCTCTTTTTCTGTTTGTCTTTTAAGTAACTTCCTTCTTCCGGAGCCGTTTATTAATAGCCATTTTTCTCACATCTTCTGTCTCTTAGCAGACGGGTATGCACATCCTTCCCTGAATCAAGAATAGCATTATATTCTTGTCTGTCCGTTTCAGATTTTCTCCCAGTATGCCTTCCCATCAGACGCCCATCCCTTTTCCACATCTTTACCCCCAAACCTGAGTCGTCTCCATTTTCACACTACCTCCTGACCACCTGCAACAAAGCACTTACCATTATTGCTGCAATCTGATTTTTTTGGGTCACACCTGGCGATGCTCAGGGATTACTCCTGGCTCTGCACTCAGGAATTACTCCTGGCGGTGCTTGGCGGACCATATGGGATGCTGGGAATTGAACCCCGGTTAGCCATGTGCCAGGCAAACGCCCTACCCGCTGTGCTTTCACTCCAGCCCCTGCAATCTGATTTTTGTTGTCAGTATTCTACTGAAGCTACATTGAAGAAGCTAATGTACTCTTCCATAAATTAGAAGGCATCTCTCCTCCCCGAACCATTGTGATGCTGTTACCCCCTGAATCTTTTTTTTCTTTTGCTTTGCACAGGGGATACTCCTGGCTCTGCACTCAGGAATTACTCCTGGCAGTGCTTGAGGGGCCCATATGGGTTGTTAGGAATTGAACCCGGGACGGTCACATGCAAGGTGAACGCCCTACCCAATATGCTATCGCTCCAGTCCCTTAATTCTTTTTTTTAAATTTTTTTTTCATTATTAATTTTTATTAGTGAAACACTATGAGGTACAGTTGTAGACTTACAAATTTTTGTGCTTGGGTTTCGATTATACAATGATCAAACACCCATCCCTCCACCAGTGTCCACTCTCCACCACCATGGATCCCAGTATCCCTCCCACTCCCATCCCCCCCATCCCACCCTGCCTCCGTGGCAGGGCATTCCCTTGTATTCTCTCTCTCCTTTTGGGTGTCGTGGTCTGCGAAAGAGGCATTGAGTGGCAATCATGTTCGGTCCATAGTCCACTTTCAACATGCATCTCCCATCCCAGGAGGATCCTCCAAACACCCTTCACCTGGTGCTCCCTTCTCTATCTGAGCTGCCCTCTCCCCCAGAATGCCCGGCTGGCCTCTAAGCCATGGAGTAATCCTCCTGGTACTGATCTCAGCTATTCTTGGGTATTAATCTCCTATTTTGTTACTTTATGTCCCCCAGATGAATGCAAATTTTTGTGTCTATCCCTCTCTCACTCATTTCGCTTAGCATGATACTTTCCATGTAGTACCACTTGTATGTAAAGTCCCCTAATTCTTATTCTTAATTCTATTCTTTTGATTTCTCATTGACCATTTGATGCTTCATCTTTTTTTGTTGTTTTGCTTTTGGTTTTATTTGTTTTGGGGTCACACTTGGTAATGCTCAGGAGTTTCCCCTGGCTCTGTACTGAGAAATTACTCATAGCTGTGTTCATGGAACCCTGTGGGATGCCAGGGACTGAACCCAGGTTAGCCACATGCAAGACAAGATACTAAGCCTCTGTGCTCTCTCTGGCCCCTCATTCTTCCATCTTGACCTGCTTTTTTAAATCTCTTCTCCTGGACTTTAATAACTATATCATCTTTTTATGAATGGATCCAAAATTGTTCTGACTCTGAGTTCTTTGGCATTGTCATTGATCCAGTTCTTTTTTTTTTGTTTGTTTTTTGTTTTGTTTTAAAGTGATGGTGGGTGTGAGGAACACCTGGCAGGGCTTACTCCTGGCTCTGTGTTCAGGATCTTTTTTTTTTTTAATTTTTATTAGTGAAACACCATGAGGTACAGTTGTAGGCTTACAAATTTTTGTGCTTATAGTTATACAATGATCAAGTACCCATCCCTCCACCAGTGCCCATCCTCCACCACCACGGGTCCCAGTATCCCTCCCATCCTCCATCCTCCCCATCCCACCCTGCCTCTGTGGCAGGGCATTCCCTTTTTTTCTCTCTCTCCTTTTGGATTTGTGGTCTGCAAAAGAGGCATTGAGTGGCAGTCATGTTTGGTCTATAGTCCACTTTCAGCATGCTTCTCCCATCCTGGGAGGATCCTCCCAGCACTCAGGGATCATTCTTGACAGGGCTCAGGGGACCACATGTAGGCAGTGCCAGGGATCAAACCTCATGTCGGCTACATGCAAGACAGTCAACATCCATGCTGCACTGTCTCTCTGGCCCACCATTGGTCCAGTCTTAGTATTTCCAAATGCCTCTTGACATTTCTAGGTAGGTGTTCTGCTAGCACTTCAGAATCACCAATAGCTAATAAACTCCCTAAGACCTTTTTTTTATTCTTTACTGTGTATCTTAACCCCAGAACAGCACAAAACTCTCAACAAATATTACAAATTTTTGCTTCTCTAGAGTCCTCATTTTAAATGTCTAACCAAAATATGAACCCTTTTTTTTCTTTTTGAGCCACACCCGGCAATGCACAGGGGTTTCTCCTGACTCTGCACTCAGGAATTACTCCTGGCGGTGCTCGGGGGACCATATGGAGTGCTGGGAATCAAACCTGGGCCAGCCGCGTGCCCTACCCACTGTGCTATAGCTCCAGCCCCGAACTTTTATTTTTAAGTTAAGGGAGAAATGATTCTGTAAGATCATAAAGAGGGGGTGGAGCGATAGCGCAACGGGTAGGGCATTTGCCTTGCACGCGACCAACCCAGGTTCCATTCCCGGCATCACGTATGGTCCCCTGAGTGTCGCCAGGAGTGATTCCTGAGTGTAAAGCCAGGAGTAACCCCTGCGTGTCGCCAGATGGGACTCCAAAACAAACCAAAAAGATCACAAAGGTCATCTGGATTAAATTTCTCAATTTGCACCTGTACACTGAAACTGAGAGGAGTTGGTTGTCAAAAATCAGTGTGTCGAGCCAGGCAGGCTTCACTGATTCATCTAGGGTGCCTGATCTTCCTGCGTGAATTCCGTCTGGAAATGTGCTGGGAGAGGAAGTGCTATAGCTTAAATGGCCTTGAACTTTACTTTGCGATTACCCTACAAACTCACTAACGCCAACAGTTTTCATTTTTTTAAAGATGTTTTTTCCTCTTTACAGAAAAGCACTTGGTCCTGCTACGAGATGGAAGGACGCTTATAGGCTTTCTGAGAAGCATTGATCAGTTTGGTATGTATTAGTCATTGGGCTGGAGCAATAGCACAGCAGGTAGAGCATTTGCCTTGCACGCAACTGATCTGGGTTCGATTCCTCCGCCCCTCTCGGAGAGCGAGGCAAGCTACCGAGAGTATCCCACCCTCACAGCAGAGCCTGGCAAGCCCCCCATGACATATTCGATAGGCCAAAAACGTAACAAGTCTCACAATGGAGACGTTACTGGTGCCCGCTCGAGCAAATCCGTGAACAATGGGAGGACAGTGACAGTGATACAGTGATTAGTCATTAATTTCTCTTTTACTCTGGGAATTTTTTTTTACATAAAATACAATATTTTGCCTATTATAGTTTTATGGTATTTCATATTGAAATCTATTTGCAATTGTTCTGCTATTATCTCGCATTAAGAAATAGTGTCTTGGGACCAGAAAGAAGTTCGAGAGGCAACACATTTGCCTTGCATGTAGCTGACCTTGGTTTGGTTTGAGTCTGAGCACCACGTATGGTTTCCCTGGTCTTGCCAGGAATCACATCTGAGCACAGAACCAGGACTAGCCCCGAGTATCATCAGGGCTGGCCTAAAAAATGAAAAAAGAAAAACACTGTCTTGGGTCAAAGAGATAGTATAGATAGCATGTGGCCGACCTTGGTTCAGTCCCCAGTACCATTTGTCTGAGAGCACAGAGCCAAGAGTAGCCTCCAAACACTAGGGGTATGGCATACACACACACACACACACACACACACACACACACACACACACAAAATAAACACTATCTTCAATCACTAACATTGCTGGAATTTTTTAAGATTTGGTTTAGTTGGGTCAAAAGTTTGTGTTTATGAGTCCAAATTTCTAAAATGTTTCCACTGAAGCATGCTTTTATTTGGACTGGTTTCTGTTTCTTTTCTCCCCATTAGAGGGAGCCAGATGATAAAAATAAAAATTTTTGAGGAACCAGAGAGAAGTATAGTGGGTAAGACAGGCATAGGTTCAATCCCCAGTGCCCCGTGTTAGTACTGGGCCAGGAGTAAACTCTGAGCACAGACAGATACAGCCCCCAAACCTAAATAAATAAAAATAAACTTACTTGATTTAAAAAGCTGCTTATTTGGGCATTGGGTGCAACTACTCTTCAAAGCAGTTCCTGCACTGTGGGTATCCCTTCCCTATCCAGTGCAAATTAGGTAGAATTTATTTTTCAAAACTTAAGCTCTTGTGCCTTGAGGGATAGTCTCAGTCCTGGACCAGAGATAGCTCCCAGGCTGGAGCACATGCTTTGCATGCAGAAGGCCCAGCTTCAGTTCTCAGCACTACATGGACCCCCGCTCTGAGCCACTAGCACTGCCAGAGGTGACACAAGTCAAAAAGTTGTCTGCTTAGGACTTGTTTTTGTTGTTACTGATTTCCTGTGATGTTACTGATTTTCAGTGCTGTTAGGATGTTTTCTCATGCACATAATTCCAACCCCCACACCCTTTACCAGTGTACCCACCTCCCTTCCCCCAGATCTCTCTCTCTCTCACCTGCCCCCGCCCATAGAGGTTCAGTTCTACGGTTGTGTCTCCTTTGGCTCTCTCTTGCCACCTAGCTGTGTACCTTAAGGACCCACGTTTGAGAGATCATTCTGTATCTATCCCGTCCTTTGTATAAATGGTCTGTTCTGAATCCTTATGTTTGTTTCTCTTTCAAGAAACTTCTCAGTTTCCATGCACATTTGTTAGGTGGGGGCAATCAATTTGGGTACAAGGGAATATAACATCGAAAGATTAAGAATTATAGAAGAGGGCCAGTAAGAGAGTATAGTGGGTCTTGCCTTGCATGCAGCTCACCTAGGTTCAATCCCCAGCACCCCATATCCCACCAGGAGCAATCCCTGAGCACTACTGGTATGGCAAAAAGAAGATAAGAGTGGGGCTGGAGAGATAGCACAGCTGGTAGGGCGTTTGCCTTGCACACGGCTGACCCGGGTTCGATTCCCAACATCCCATATGGTCCCCTGAGCACCAGCAGGGGTAATTCCTGAGTGCAGAGCCCGGAGTAACCCCCTGTGCATTGCCGGGTGTGACCCCCCCCCCAAAAAAAAAAGAAGATAAGAGCATACATAACTAATTTTCTTTTTTGGAGGTATAGGGAGGAATTTCTAAAGCAGTGCTCAGGAGCTCAGATACCCCCTCCCAGCAATTTCTTGCCTATCTGGCTGGTCAGTGCAAGTGCTGTTGGTGCTTTGGTGCTTGGAGGTCACGTCTAACTGTGCTCCTTGGTTGCCATGTGTGTACCGGACCATGCTGTGGGGTCCACATGGTGCTGGTCAGCCACTTGTAAGGCATATGCCAAAATCCTGTACTGTCTCTCTGATTTTGATTTTCTTTTTTTTTTTTTTCTTCTTTTTTTTTTCTTTTTTTTTTTGTGGGGGTTACACCAGGCGATGCACAGGGGTTACTCCTGGCTCTGCACTCAGGAATTACCCCTGCCAGTGCTCAGGGGACCATATGGGATACTGGGAATTGAACCCGGGTCGGCTGTGTGCAAGGCAGGTGCCCTACCCACTGTGCTATTGCTCCAGCCCCTGGCTCTAATTTTCTTTAAGATTATTATAAAGTAAATAATAACAATAATACCCTTTTTTTGATGGTACCTCCCAAATGGTACTCAGGGGGCCCTGGGGACCACTCCCAAAGATTCTTGGCCGACTGGCCCAGCGGTTCAATTCTAGGTCCGATAAGAGTCCAGGCTCTGAGCTGTTGGGGCCCCCCAGAGCCACGCCCAGCAATGCTCTGAGGCATATCTGCCCAAACCCCTGAGTTATCTTTCCAGCCCCCAGCAATTAAGTTCTGCCTCTTTGTTTCACTCACTTTGTTGATTTTTTAAATATTTCTTTAGGCACGGTGTTTTACCATACTGTTAATGTTAGGGTGTCATGCACAACACAGTCTGTGTCCTCTCCCAGGCTGTTTCCCAGTGCCTCCAAATCCCCCTCCTCCGCCCTCCACTGTGGGAGGCTTCCTGCCAGTGTTCTCAGTTTTGCCTTTGAGTATCTGTTTATACCCCTGCTCTGTTTCTTATCCTGCAGATGAGAGAGGCCATTCTGTATCTGTCCCTCTCCAACTTCACTTGGCATGATGCTCTCCAGATCCACCCACACAGCAGCTAGTTGCGTAGTTCATTTTTCCTGATAGCTGAGTAGTGGTCCATTGTGCAGTATTTGGTCATCTGTTTTGGACATGGGTTGTTTCCAGGTTTCCGCAGTAGTGAACATAGGTCTACAAATGTTTGTTTCTGAATAGATTTTTGGGCTCTTGGGGTAGATGTCAAGTGGACTTGCTTGGCCATAAGAGAACTCAATCCTAGTTTTTTGTGGAGTGTCTGTTTTTTGGTGGTTTTTTCCCCTTTTTTTTTTTTTTATTAGTGAAACACCATGATGTACAGTTATAGACTTAAAAATTTTTGTGCTTGGGTTTCAGTCATACGATGATCAAGTACCCATCTCTCCACCAGTGCCCATCCTCCACCACCGTGGCTCCCAGCATCCCTCCCACCACCCCCCTCCCCGTACCCCCATCCCACCCTGCCTCATGTCTGTTGTTTTTTAAGAAGTCTGAACCATGGGACTGGAGCGAGACCACAGCGGGTAGGGCATTTGCCTTGCACACGGCCAACCCAGGTTCAATTCCCAGCATCCCATGTGGTCCCCGAGCACTGCCTGGAGTGATTCCTGAGTGCAAAGCCAGGAGTAACCCCTATGCATCGCCGGGTGTGACCCAAAAAGAAAAAAAAAAATTCTGAAGCAGTCGACATTCCCACCAGTAGTGAGTAAATGTGCCTTTTTCGCACATGCAGTACTGGTTGCTTTTGTCTTTTGTGGTGTGTGCCAGTGTCACTGGTGCGAGATGATACCTCATTGTTTTGATTTGCAGTTCCCTGATGGTTGATGAAGTGGTTCTTCCATACACCTTTGGACCACCTGTATGCCTTATGTTGTTTGGGCGGCGTGGTTTTCGGTTCATGCCTGGTGGTACTCGGGTTACTCCTGGCACTGCAGTCAGGAATGACTCCTGGTGGACTCAGGGAGTGTTATGGGATGTCAGGGATTGAGGCCAGCGGCCTCCGCGCTGTACTATACTATCTCTTCAACCTCCTTATGTCTTCTCTGAGGAAGTTTCTGTTGGTCTCCTGCCTTTTTTCTTTCTTTTTTTTTTTCTTTTTTAAGCAACTCTTGGCTTTGGAGCTATAGAAAGATTTTTTTTTAATTTTTAAATTTTCATAAAGTTGTTCGCAATAATTGATTGCATTCAATATTTCAACACTAATCCCACCACCATTACACCTTTCACCCACCATTATTTTGAGTTTTCCCACCACCACTCAAGCCTCAGATGCTAGATAATTTATTCTGTGTTGCTTGTTATGAATGATATGAGATGTCTGTAAGGGTCGATCTCACAGTGATTCAACAAAAAAGAAATATGTATGAGCTGTTGCGCGGCTATGCACTCCTGGAATTCTACAATTTTAAATTATTGGGGTGGGGAGCCATCCCTGCATCAAGCTGCTCAGTTCCGAGATTCATTTGTGAGTCTCTTGATCATGGCAGTTAATGCGCTTAAATGCTTAAATGGTTCCTGGAGGCAGTTTATGGGCGTGACAGCCAGGACCCTGGAGGGCGGGGAGATGGGACTGGGATGGCCAGTCCCAACAGTCCCAACCCCTTGAGGCCTAGCATTTTCAGCATACCTGGGTTTTTCACTTTATTTCGTCTCTTGTGTGGGAGGCCCAGGGCAGCCTGTGAAGATCAGCCATGAGGGTGGCGGCGATTGGTTTCTGGAGGTTTGCGCCTGCCTGGCCCATCTGGTCCATCTGGTGCAGGCCGCAAGAGAACACCCTCTCCTGTCTAAGGTGTCCAGAGCCTGGGGCAAGGTCCAGGGTCCAGAGCTATCTCTGCAGCCTGCTGCTCATTCTGAGACTCGTTTGAGTACCTCGTCTCCTCCTTTTTATGATGGGGTTGGGTGTGGTTGGTTTTTTTTTTTTTTTAATTGAATCACCTTGAATTACAGAGTTAGAAAGTTCAGTGTTAAGATTCAGGAGTGGATGTTCCAGCACTGATCCCCTCACTTCCCTGCACCAGTTTCCCAGTCCCCTCCTTCTCTGGCAGGCTTTTTGTGTCCCCTTCCCTAGCTTATTCCCCACTCGCACGCCCACCCCAGTGGCAAGCTTCCCACTGAAGACGAGTTCTCCTGCTCTTCATTTCTGCTGCCTTTGGGCATTTGTTATTCCCTTGGAAAGTGTCCTTATATCCCACATATAAGAGATCGTTCTGTCTGTCCCTCTCCAACTTTATTTTTCTTTTTGGGTCACACCCAGCGATGCACAGGGTTACTCCTGGCTCAGCACTCAGGAATTATCCCTGGCGGTGCTCAGGGGGCCATATGGGATGCTGGGAATCGAACCTGGGTTGTTCGTGTGCAAGGCAGACGCCCTACCCGCTGTGCTATTGCTCCAGCCCCAGCGGTAGGGCGTTTGCCTTGCACGCAGCCAACATGGCCGACCCGAGTTCGATTCCTCCGCCCCTCTCGCAGAGCCCAGCAAGTTACCGAGAGTATCTCGCCCGCACAGCAGAGCCTGGCAAGCTCCCCGTGACATATTCGATATGCCAGACACAGTAACAACAAAGTCTCCAATGGAGACGTTACTGGGCCCGCTCGAGCAAATCGACGAACAACGGGAGGGCCTTTACCTTTACCTTTTTTCTTAATAAATTAATTTTTTTTAATTGAGTCACCTTGAGTTACATAGTTACAAAGCTGTTCATGATGGGTTTCAATCATTCAGTGATCCAACACATCACTCCACCAGCCGATGACCTCAGCTTCCATCCTTCCCGTCCCCCTGCCTCTGTGGCAGGCACTTTTCCCCTCTCTTCTTCCTTCCCTCCCTCTCTCTCTCCCCTCCTTTCTCCTTCTTTCTCCTTCTCTCCCCCCCCCCCTTTTTCTCCCTCTCACTCCCTCTCCTGCCCTCTCCCTCCCTTCCCCCTTTGGGGCATTATGGTCTGCAATACACATACTGAGAGGTTATCATTTTTGTCCTTTATCCCTATGACTAACTTGACTCAACATGATATTCTCCAGACCCATCCACAAAGCAGCAAATGGCAGGACTTCATTTTTTCTTACAATCTGGTAGTTTCTGGGACCGGAGCGGGCAGATCATTTGCCCTGCATCCGGCTGGCCCAGGTTCAATCTCTTGCACCAAATGTGGTCCCCCAAGCCCACCAGGAGTGATCCCTGAGCACAGAGCCAGGAGTAAGCCCTGAGCACTGCCGGGTGTGGCAAAAAAGCAAATAAAATTTAAAAGAACTGAGTAGTATTCCATTGTATAGGTGAACCATAGCTTCTTTTTTCAGTCACCTGTTCTTGGGTCCTTGGGTTGTTTCCAGATTTGGGCCTTTATGAATGTAGGAGAGTAGATGGCTTTTCTGCATTGTACTTTTGGGCCCTTGAGGTATATTCCAAGGAGTAGAATTGCTGGGTTGTTTTGTTTGTTTGTTTGTTTTTTGGGGGGAATGACCAGTTGCCTTCCAGTACGTTGTGCTGGTCAACATTCCCACCAGCTGTGAGTGAGGGTCCCTGGGTCCCTTTCCCCTTCCCCGCCCATTCTCACCAACACTGGCGGCTGCTGTTGCTGAGTCCGCCTCCTGCTGATATGAGGTGATTCCCTCATTCTTGTTTTGATTTACCTTTCCCTGGTGATTGGTGGCACTGAGCGTTTGTCTTGGCTCTGGTGAGTGGTGGGCCTAGGTCTGTGTTTCAGTTTGGGCTAACAGTGGTGCTCAGGCTCCTCCTGACTCTGCTTGGGCATCTTGTCAGTCTCTGTGATCTCAAGGGACCATGTGATGCCAGGGTTCAAACCCAGGCTCCTGCATGCAAAGGACATGCTTAGCCAAAGAACCATCTCACTGTCCCTTGAAGTATTCATCAGGGATACTTGTATCATTCTTGTATGAACACTTGTACAAGTGTCCATCAGACTGCTTCAAGGTAGAAGGAGTAAAAACTGGGGCCAAAGAGATAGGACGGTGGATTGGGCTCTTGCCTTGCATGCTGCTGTGTGATCTAACCCTGAGCCGCACCAGCAGTGATCCTAAATACACAACCAGGATTGCAATGCCTGTGGCCCCAAAACTAAAATACTTTTTTACATTTTTCTAAAAGTAGTAACTACTGGGGCTTGAGCAATAGCACAGCGGGTAGGGTGTTTGCCTTGCACGCAGTCAGCCCTGAGTTCAACTCCCAGCATTCTGTATGGTCCCCTGAACACCACCAGGGGTAATTCCTGAGTGCAGAGTCAGGAGTAACTCCTGAGCATCGCCGGGTGTGACCCCCCCCCCCAAAAAAAAAGAAAAAAAGTAGTTAGAATTGATTTTACTCTCAACCAGATAAGGTTACCTGAGAAAGGGAAATAATTTATTTTTGCTGCAATCCATGATTATTGCGTTGGATTAAATTCATTGTACATCTGGGGGCCAAGAGATAGATACTATATCCATCAGGGTTTTTGCCTTGCACTCAGCTGACTATGGTTCATTCCCTGGTACCCCATGTGGTCCCCCAAGCACTGCCAGGTGTAAGCCCTGAGCACCATTGGCTGTACCAAAACCAGCAAATATTCTGTGTTCTGAAACAGTTACGTCTTCGGTAAGTCATCACATGAGCCTACCCATACGACATAGAAAATCGTCTACTCCTAGGAAACTGGAGTGGCCATGGTAGGGGGGGCGGCTCTTGGGGGCTGCTGGTGCCAGTGATCCAGTCAAGCCCAGGAGCTTGGGCGTGCAGAGCATGTGATGTGCCACCAGGATTTAAATCTCAGTTATTTAGGTTTCGGTATCCTCGGTGCTTTACTGATCATCTCTTTTTTGGTTTGGTTTGGCTTTGGTCTTTTAAACTGCACCCAGTGAAGCTCAAGAGTTTATTCCTGGTTGTGTTCAGGGATCATATCTGGCCAAGCTGTGGGGACCAAACCCAGATTGCTGTGTGCGAGGCAAGCTCCTTACCTGCTCTACTATTTCTCCGGTCCCCTGTGTTGACATTGGCAGTTATCTTAAAAAAAAAAGAAAAAAAAAAAGAAATTTAATTTTCTTACTCCTACCATCACCATTCCTATATTAGTGCAGTGCAATTCATATAATCTCTTGGGTGCTTGCCTTCCATGCAGGAGAGGTCGGTACCTCCACCACCTGTCCTCGGGCTCCACAACAAAAAATTTAAAAATATACCAAAAGTATCCTAAATGGTGTGCATCCCTAATAAGTAGGAAGTGTTTAGCTTTTTTCCCAAACTGGAAGGTTTGGAAATCACGTTTAGATAAATCTGTTCTACTCAAAATAACTGATTGAGTTAAACACCTTTACCCAGAATTTGAACTAAATATCTTTGTTTCTTCCCTGTACACTTATAGCTAACTTAGTGCTACATCAGACTGTGGAACGTATTCATGTGGGCAAAAAATACGGTGATATTCCTCGAGGAATTTTTGTGGTCAGAGGAGAAAATGTGGTCCTACTAGGAGAAATAGTAAGTGCGAACTGCTCAGCTCCTACTGGTCTTGACAATCGTGGGGGTTAGGGCTCTTCTGTCCTTTCAGGAAGAGAAAAATACGTTTTCTACTTTTTCCCCGGCTTCACAAGAAACGGTTAAATTAACTTAAAAAAAGCTACAACTTGGGGAGTTACCTATAGAGATAGTTAGGAAGAAAGTATATCCCATTAGAGATAGGATAGGAATAGAGATAGTATAGCACGCTCGCCTTCTTTGTGGGCCAATTCCAGTTTAATCCCAGAAACTGCATACGGTCCTCTGAGCACAGAACCAGGAATAACCCCTAAACATTGCTGTGTATGACCCTAAATTTTTTGTTGTTGTTGTTGTTTACATGTTTGTAGCAAATAACTTGCTTTCAGTGCCTTTTAGGGTTTTCGAGATTTTGATTCCGATAACAGCACAATTGTCACATTGCCTGATACTAAAAAACCCTGCTGGGGGGACAGAGAGAGGGTACAGTGGTAAGATGCTCACCTTGCACGTGACTGACCCAGGTTTGACCCCCAGCACGTCACATGCTTCCCTAGGCACTACCAGGAGTGACTCCTGATACCACCGGCTGAGACCCAAAAATGATAAGGAAAATAAAACCTAAACGTGCTTATGAAGGGGACGGAGAGGGAGTGTAGCAGGCAGAGTGCTTGCCTTGCACGAAGCTGACCCAGATTTCATCCCCGACATCCCATGTGGTTCCCTGAGCACTCCCGGGAGAAAGTCCTGAGTACAGAACCAGGAGCAACCCCTGAGCATCACCAGGTGCACCTGTTAATGTGGTTTCTTTTTATCTTAACTAGAAATGGAAGGAATTGAAAGAGAATTATGCCTACCGGCGAGGGAAGAACAATTCAGTAGAGTACAGTTAAAATATACTGAAATATATTTAAGTAATTGGCTTTTCTGGCAAAATTAATTATCAGTGGTAAATCAATAAAGTTCTGGTAGGGCCAGAATTGACTCGGTGGTTTAAAGCGCTTGCTCAGCAACTGGCAAGTTCAAGGCTAAGCCCTGGTCGCACCCTCTGCACCAGAAGGTGATCCTGACTGCCCTGCTGAGCAAACGAGCCCCTAAAGGTGACGCCCTCGACCAGGACGGTCGCGCTTTGCAGGAGGCAGACCCATGGTGGGGCCCTGGAACCAGGCCTGGGTGTGACCCGGTAGAAAAGAAGAGGGGAGTTTTTTGACAAGTTGAAGGAGAATATTAGTACACTCCTATTCGTACATAGGCATCTGTGTGTAAATATATGTAAAACTTTATAATATACAAACTATTAGACATTCACGTACTTTTTTTGGGTTTGGTTTTTGTTTTGGTGCTACACCTAGCAGTGCTCAGAGCTTATTCCTGGCTCTGCACTTAGGGATCACACCTGGCAGTTGTGATCAGACGGGTGCCAGAGAGCAAACCCTGGTGACTCCATCCAGGACTAGCACCCTACTCATTATGCCAGCTCTCTGGCCCACACCTGCAATTTTAAAAGAAAATTGAATTTTTTTTTTTTTTTAATAGGAGCCAGTACTGAGGGAAAGCTACCGAGAGTATCTCACCCTCACGGCAAAGCCTGGCAAGCTTCCTGTGACGTATTTGATATGCCAAAAACAGTAGCAGCAAGTCTCACCGTGGAGATGTTACTGGTGCCCGCTCGAGCAAATCCATGAACAATGGGAGGACAGTGCTACAGTGCTACTGGGGGCGGAAAAACTAGCATATTTAGTTTAAAACTGTCTGGGGGGAAGGTCGGGCCGAGCTCAGGGTCTGCTCACAGCCCCGCGTGTCAGGATCCCTCCTGGCAGTGCTCTGGCGGCCATTGGCTGTTGAGAATCCAAATCAGGGCCTGTGCCCTGTACCCCTGAGCTGTCTCCAGTCCTAGGCAAAGGCTTTCCACTCAGGCTCCTAAGGTCAGCTGCAGGCTGGTCTTTCGCGCTCGGCCTGCTGTCGCCCCACTGGGCTCTCTCAGCACCGCATGACCAGCCTGAGCATTGACAACCTTCAGCCCCATTGGCCAGCCGTGGCCAGGAGTGGCACCTGGACCCCGAGCACTGCTTTGGAGGGCCAAAAAGTAAATAAGACCACTGGTTTGATCCGACTCTTCTGATTATTAGGGTTTGCCAGAAAAAATTCGAAATAAACACTGTAGCCTTTGTTAATTTTAAGGGAATCATTTCTGGCCTTGCTCAGGGAACCATGTGGTGCTGAGGGTCAAACCCAGGCCTCCCACGTGCAAAGCATGCCTTGGACCTCTTCCCCCGCACAGCACAGTGACAAGAGTTCAGCCAGGATCGGGTTGGTTCCGAGATCTCACACTGGAGACAGCTAAGAATCCTACTACATGGAGACTGTGTCCTTCTTTTGAGTTTGATATTTTTCTTCAGCCCTTGTGTTTAAGCAGCAGAAACTGACTCCCCCGTCTTGGTCGAGGTGTGGGGAACGAGAGTAATAATGGTTCAGCAAGTGGTCTGTCCACGTAGGAAGAGCTGAAAAACCCCTCAGGACAATAGGAGTAAGGATTAGGTTCCCCGTTTACCCCCCCTTTTTTGTTTGTTTTAGGTTTTTTTTTCTTTTTTGAGGTAAGATGCATCCGGATGCCGGGGGTCAGCTGAGTCAGCTGTGTGCAAAGCAAACACCCTACCTGCTGTACTAGCTCTCCACCTGCAGTGTTTCCCCTTTTTAAAGTTATTTTTTGAATTTAATTTTTTTTTAATATTTAAAAACAGTACTTTGCAGTGGGAAAAGATTCGAGTTAAAATGCTTTTGTCGGCTCTGCCACTGTAAGTCCACATGCTTTCGGTGCCCGTCACATTGGCACAGACGCAGCGCTGAGCCGTAGGTGTATGAGGGTTCTGATCTTGTGCGTTCCCAGGCGGTGGGGCTGTTGGGCGCATCCAGCGGTGCTTGGGAGACCGCAGTGCCTGGGACCAGGCCAGCACCTCAGCCCCTGCACTCTGCTTTATTTATTTAAGAAATATAGAAAAAATATTAAGGAATACCAGGAGTATTCGCTCACACAGCAGAGTGAGGTGCGGGCATGCACCACAGAGAGGCCCTGCCCTTAGTCTTAAGAGTTCTTGGATTCTGGAAGCCCTTTTGTGGAAGAAGGTCTCTGGCTTTGGGATTGCTTTGGTTTTAAATGTGGGGCTGTGCCTTACCCGGTGCTCAGTGGTCTTTCCCAGAAGGTACCTGGGGCTCGTGCAGTACTAAGGGTTGTACCTGGCCACCAGCACGCAGAGCACGCGCTCCGGCCCTTTGAGTTACCCCCCAGCCCCTTTTAGCTGTATCACTGGCCAGATGCTGCGAGATATTTCCAGTGGTTCCACTAAAGAAATACAGCTGAGGACCCAGAGCAATAGTCAGGTCCAGTCGAGTTTGATCCCTACATACGGTCCCCCGAGCCCCGCCAGGAGTGATTTCCAAAAGCAGAACCAAGGTTAAGCCCTGAGCACCACCAGGTGTGGTCCAAAAACCAAACCCAAAAGAGAAAGGAAGAAATACAGTTGTGGGGGGGCTGAGAGAGCGCGACAGGTTGAGCACACGCTTTCCACGGGGGAGGCCTAGGTTTAGTCCCCGTCACCCCATGGTCCTCTCGACATCGAGTCTGGTGTAACCTTTGAGAACTGCCAGACACGGCCTGAAAGCTCTGCAGGAAAGGAAGGAGCGAGATAGGGTTCAGGAATACTCAGGCAGTTCTAAGATGCCAGTTTGAAGAAAGTTTGCACCAACCGAGGGAAACTCAAACCAGAAATTCTTTAGATCTTCATAAACGGGGCAGATGGCACAACAGCTTGGCTGCTTTTCTTGCATGTGTTCGCCCCTCTGCCACCCTTATGGTCCCAAGCCGTACCACCGGAGCTCAGAGCAAGGAGTTGAGTAAGCCTGGTCAGCCCTCCCCAGCCCCCTCCCCACCCCACTGCAGATTTCAATCTCCATAACACATCCTGTTGCTTAAGAAGTCCCTGGTTTCTGCCTCAAGGATGATGACGCCACCAGCTTAAGTAATAACTCGGACCAGAGTAATAGTACAGTGTGTAGGGTGCTTACCATACATGTGACTGGCCCAGAATTGATTTTTGGCATCCCATATGGTGCCCTGAGCCCCACCAGGAATGATCCCTGAATGTAGAGCCAGTAGTAAGCCCTAAGAACTGCAGAGTGTAGGGGCTGAAGCAATAGCACAGCGGGTAGGGCGTTTGCCTTGCACGCGGCTGACCCAGGTTCTATTCCCAGCATCCCATATGGTCCTCCAAGCACCGCCAGGAGTGATTCCTGAATGCAGAGCCAGGAGTAACTCCTGAGCATCAGGTGGGTGTGGCCCACAAAGCAAAAAAAAAAAAAAAAACTGCAGAGTGTAGCCCAAAAACAAAAAGATTGTCAAAGCAGCATCACAAACACATAAATAGCTCAGTAAATCACGTACAGAAAAGCAAAACGAATTCTTCACTTCAGCAGCAAGTTGCACTTCCTATGACGTGTTCTCTTGGTGCAGAAGATTATCTAGATTAATGGGGGGAAGGGGCCATTCCTAGCTGGACCCAGGAATCGCTCTCGGCAGGGTTCAGTGGTGCCAGGGATCCAACGGGATTAGCCTCATGCATGGCAAACACCCTATTCTCTATAGTTCTGGTTTCTGGGTTAATTTTTGTTTTGTTTAGTTTGGGAGCCACACTCCTGGCTTACTCCTGGCTCTGTGCTCAGGGATCACTCCTGGCAGGCTTGGGACCATGGGCAGTGCCGGGGCAGCCATAGCAAGGCGGGCACTTACCCACTGTCACTCTGGCCCTCGGTTAGTTTTTGACCTGGAATAGGACTTATGCTCATGCTTCTGTTTTGTGGCTTTTCATTTAGACCGCTGTAGTGTGCGTTCTCCTGCAGATACGCCACACTGTCCGTGGGTTCAGGCTGTGTCAGAACGGGAGATTCCCGTCCAAGGGCAGGCTGCAGGTGTGCACAGTTTTGCCTTTGTTGGTGCCTCCCCAGGATTTCGGGGGAAAATAAGAAAGAAGAATGGTCTGTTAGAGCCTGAGAGATGGTACCGGGGTTAAGACTCCTTACCCAGCACCAGCAGGGGTCACAGGGCACAAAGCCAGGAAAAGCCCCTGAGCACCTTCCAGCACCCAGACTGCAGCTTTCTCCAGCACCCAGACTGCAGCTTTCAGTGGCACAGAAACACAGAGTGTAGCCTGTCTTGCTGTGCCCCCCCCCAGATTCCATCCCCGCACCCCATAAGGCCCCCAAAGCACCACAGGAGTGATTCCTGGAAACAGAGCCAGGAGTGACCCTGAGCATCGCCAGGCTCAAAAAACAAAGATAAAAACAAGCAAGGCAAGTGCTCTTCTGCCCAGCTGTTTCTCCGATCCCTAAAAAGCTTCCCCACTCCCCCATTTTTGAGCCACATCCGGTGGTGCCCTAGGACTACCCCCACGTGGTGTGGGAGGCCACACCCTGAGCTTCATGCAGAATATATATGCCTATTGTGTTATCTCCTTGGGTCCCTCCTGAAAAAATGAAAATTAAAAAAATGAAAAGAAGGGTCAGGAAGATGACTCAGATGCTGGGTCACGTACTTGAATGTGGCAGGCCCACTCATGTTTGGTTCCTCAGTTTCCTGAGCAGCAAGCCAGGAGTAACTCCTGAGCACTTGTGTTTGTGGCCCAAAAACAGCAACAACAGATTTTTTAAATATTATGGGGCCAGCTAGATCAGTAACCCAAATGGTCTGCTGAGGTTTCTCTAGAACTGTTTTCCAAACACTGGTCACAGACTGTGCTAACAATTAAGGCTGAAACTGCTGCTATAAAGATGTGTTGCCACAGAGGTAAAATAATTAGGGTTTTTTTGTGTTATTTTGGAACCCCACTTGGTGATGCTCAGGGGTTGCTCGTGTGTCTACACTCAGGAATCACTCCTGGCAGTGCTCAGGGACCTTAGGAAGTATTGGGCAGTGAACTAATACTCAATCCCTTGCAAGGCAGACATCTTACCCACTATCCTATCTCTGCTCCCTAGAAGTGAATTTAAATTTTAAAGGTGCCTCATCAAGAACAGAGGTCCAATGTATTGCCTTCAAAAGGAGAGAGAAGTTTGCTATTTGAATCACTGATTCCCAGCCTTCTTTTTGAGCAATACCCCTAATTTTATTTATTTGTGTTTTGGTCTGTGAACCATACCTGGCAATGTTCAGGGGCTGCTCCCAGTTCGGTGCTCGAAGTCGTTCCTGGCAGTGCTCAGAGAAGTATGCAGTGCCATCTAACCCAGGCCTCCCACTCCTACTCATGTGCTCATGACCATAGAGCTATCTCTACATACGCTGGCAAGGGATAAAAGGGTTATGTAAACTTAATCACACTTTTTGAATTCTCTGGGATTAAGGAGCTAGCTGTTTATAAAGGGGCGTGTTATTTTTAAGAAAAGATATTCCTGTGTCTGGAGAGAGTACGGTGGTTAGGACACTTAGTTGCAAGCAGCTGACCTGTGTTCAATCCCCCCAGGCCCCCCAAGAGTGATGCCTGAGAGATGGGTGGTGGGGAGAGAGGAAGGGAAAAGAGAGTCCTTTACTTAATAGGCGAATTTAAAGAAAGCCCTTTACTTAGATAGACCAGAGCTTTACATGTGATAGAGATCCCTGTCCACACATTCATGGAGGTTTATAATTTTTAGTATTGTTACCAGTCATTTCCTCAAAAACTTGACCTGTCCCAAGGAAGAAGAAATTTCAGCCCTCTTGCAGTTATGTAAGATAGGTCACCCTAGTCAGAAATGTAGTCGTCTTTAGTATTGTTTTCCTGGTCATTAGGTGAATTTTTTGAATCCTGCTTGTTTCCAGGACTTGGAAAAGGAGAGTGACACGCCTCTTCAGCAGGTGTCTATCGAAGAGATCCTGGAGGAACAGAGGGTGGAACAGCAGACCAAGCTGGAAGCGGAGAAGCTGAAGGTCCAGGCCCTGAAGGACCGAGGGCTCTCCATTCCCCGGGCAGATACTCTCGATGAGTACTGAGTCTCTGCCCAGGGTGCTTGCTCGGAGAGCAGGCCTGCCACAGGATGGAAGTCACATCCTCGTTACCTCTCACGGTTCGACTAAAGACTAGAGAGTTTTGGGGGGGAAAAATCATTTTTATTTTGAATTCTTTCTCATTTGCAACATGAAGAAATCATGTGGATTTTTTTTTTTAATACTAAATCATTGTTGAAAGAAGGAGGCATGGACTCACGTCGCTGTAGAGCCAGCAGTAGCTTCTGTGTGTTGCTCCTCACTTAAGATTCGAGCCTCCAGCAGTTTTCATTGACCTGTAAATAAAACACAGATCTCAAAACTGTCTCGTGTTACTTCCCAAGTATGAGTAGCCTACAATGAATACACTGTTTTCTGCTCTTCAAAGTGAAAGCAGGGTGGGGCTGGAGAGATAGCACAGCAGGTAGGGTGTTTGCCTTGCACGTGGCCAACCCGGGTTCGATTCCCAGCATCCCATATGGTCCCCTGAGCACCGCCAGGAGTAGCCCCTGTGTATCTCCAGGTGTGATCCAAAAAGAAAAAAAAAGTGGAAGCAGGGGGTTGGAGAGAAAGTACAGTGGTTAGCGCACTTGCCTTGTACACAGACAACCGAGATTTAAATCTCCAGCATCCTGTATGGTCCCCTGAGCATTGCCAGGAGTGATTCCTGAGTGCAGAGCTGGAAGTAACCCCTGAGCATCACTGGGTGTGACCCCAAAAGACAAAATTTCCCAGGAGGGAACACTTAATAAAGTTGCAGTTACTGATTAGAATGGAAGTCCCATAATTAAGAGACATCATTACTTTTACACTTGCCTTGCACGCAGCCAGCCCCAGTCTGGTCACGGTGCTGTAAAGAGACCCCGACCACTTCCAGCAATGATTCCTGAGCACAGAGCCAGAAACGGCACGGAAGCATTGAAGTTCTACAGGGGTTAAGACCTTAGCTTGCCTTGTGCATGGATGATCCTGTTTGATCCCTGGGACCACATGTGGTTCCCTCAAAAATGACACCACCAGGTCTCACCCCAAAACAAAGTATAGAGGGGGCTGGATCCACTTAATGGCTTATGTGGTATAGTTTGCCTCTAATCTTATTGAAAACCAAAATTTATTACAGATTAAACACCAAAGCAGGGGAGAAACATCTCCAGTGTTTGAGGTCTTGCTTTTTTGTTTTTAGTTTGGGGCCACACTCAGCTGTGCTCAGGGCTTCTTCCTCTCTCTGCACATAGGGTCACTCCTAGCTGAACTCGGACCATATGGGATGCCAGGGGTTGAAACCGAGTCAGCCAGTTAGAAGGCAAGCACCCTGCTCGTTGTAGTAGCCCTCCTTGCCGTCTTCAGAGCACAGGGAGACAGTGTCTCTTCTAGCTGGTGACTTTTCCCTGCCCTTGGCCCTTGACCTGTGTTGCGTCCATGAGCTAAATTTAAGTCCCAGTATCTGCTCTCCTCCCCGCTCTGAAGACTAATGGGGCCATTCATCCTCCAACTGTCCCTGATAAAGAGCTTTGCTTTGCTTCGTTTTGTTTGGTCTTGGTTTGGGGCTGCACCAGTGGTGCTCAGCGATCCCTCCTAGTGGGCTCAGGGGACGATATGGGGGGCCGAGGATCAAGGGGAGGCCTGCCAGAGTGCTCTGTGAAGAGCTTTTCAGGAAAGCCAAGTCAGCAGGAACCCTAGAGTTTTACACCCCAGAAGGTGGGAGGCCCAGCAGCTGCAATGCACAGTTCCCAGGCTCGTCTTAAATCCACACATGGGCTTGATGGCAAGCCCTAGAAATGGTCTGGGATCAGTGCATTTCTGAAACAGCTGGAGATCCAGCAATGGATCCCGAAAGCCAGAGCTGGCAAGAAACTGAAAGGTAGTTAACAAAAAAAGCGCCCTGCCCTCTAATTCCACAGTGAGGATCATGATGTCCCAGAACCCATGTACATGTGTGTATAGCTGTGGGCCATTTTCACACCTTCCGGAAGGGAAGGTACAATTCAACTTCCCTTCTGTGAGGAGCTCACCTTCCCAGTAAGGCATAGAGAAGACATTCTGGGTGCGGAGCATTATTATAGGGGGCAAGGCACTTTGCAATCCAGCATTGGGGTTGTGTGTGTGTGTCTGTGCGCTTTTTGGGTCACACCCGGCAATGCACAGGGGTTACTCCTGGCTCTGCACTCAGGAATTACCCCTGGCGGTGCTCAGGGGACCATATGGGATGCTGGGAATCGAACCCGTGTTGGCCGCTTCCAAGGCAAACGCCCTACCCGCTGTGCTATCACTCCAGCCCCAATCCAGCGTTGTTAAAGAGAGTAAGTACCTTGCCTGCAGCCAACCCCAGTTCCATCCCTGGCACTACCTATGATCCCCCAAGCACCATCAGGAGGATCCTTGAGCATAGCCCAACATAGCACCTCTGGGTGTGGCCCAGCACCCAAGAACAAACGAAAATTCCCCCCGAAAAATAAGGTTTGGGGATGGAGGATTTGCCAGGTCGCTGGAAATAAACGTTTCCCCTCGGCCTGTTTTCCTTCCTAACTGCAGTGCCCGTGCCGTCTTACCGTCTTACCCTGCAGGGGCTCGGTGCTTCTGCCTCTTGCTGGTACAGGCGCCTCGTGGCAGCCCTTCCTATGGTGCGGGAGATGTGCTCCCAGGGCTTACACTTTCTGGCTGACTACCCCCACAGTTTTGAGCTGCAGAGCTGAAGGTGGGGGGCAGAGGGACCATTGTACATACCTGTCTGCTTACGGCTGCAAAGCAGTGTTAAGGCACACACTTTGTTCATGTTTGTTTATTCATTGGGGTTTCAACTACACCTGGAGATGCTCAGGGCTTAACCCTGGGTCTGCACTCAGGGCTCACTCGTGGTGTGGCTTGGGGGACCCTATATGGTGCCAGGGATTGAACCCGGGTCCCCTGCATGCACTGCAGCACTGCAACCAGTCACCCTGCCCATTGAATTGTCTCTCCAGCCTCCCCAAACCCTCTTGATCTGCCACCACATGGCTCCCTGAGCAATCTCAATCAACTCTTGGAGTCCCCTGAGCACGCACCACTGGGTTTGCCCCTGAAAACTCCCAGCACGGCTAAGGTGACCCAAGAAATCCCAGGCACTGCAAGACCCAAGCAGCTTTGCATCCTCTGGCTGAAACAAAGGGTAGGAGAAGGTCTTCAGGGAGGAGCTGGAGCAAGAGGCACTTGCCTTGCACGTGATCAACCTGGATTCGATCCCAGCATCCCATGTGACCCCCCTGAGTACCACCAGGAGTCATTCCTTCAGAGCCAGGAGTAATGCCCTGAGCATCACCGGGTGTGACCCCTCCCCCCCTCCCCCCGAAGAAAATAAAAGCACCTGTTTCGCATGATCCTGGATTCAATCCCAATATTAAATAAATAAATTCAACCTAAAGGTTAACCTTCTAACAACTGCACCCTTGGGGCCCTGTGTGAAGAGCACAAAACACTAGCGCAGAGTTGCCTTCCGAAGTTCAACTGCAGTGACATTTACGGTACCTAAGATTTGGAAATAACCTAAGTGGCCAAGGAGAGATAAGTGAATAAGGAAATCGTGGTCAGTGCCCATGGACATAGCTCAAGGCTGCATGTGGAAGACCCCGGTCAAGTTTATGCGCACAGTAGGCATGATTCCGGAGGACAGAGCCGGGAGTAGCCCAGTGAGAGAAAGAAAAGGAGGCAGGGAGGGAGGCAGGCAGATGAGAAGGAAGGAATTGTATTTTTGGGCTGGAGTGATAATACATGAGGCGGGCACTTGACTTGCACGTGGTTGACCTAGATTCAATCCCCAGCACCACATGTAGTCCCCTGAGCCCCATGGGAGTTATCCTTGAGGTCAGAACCAGCAGTGAGCCCTGAGCACCACTGGGTGTGGCCCCAAAACTTAGAAAACAAACCATGAAATCGGAGAATCATGCTAAGAGAAATAAATCAGGAGAAGGACAAATACCTGATGCTCTTACTCATGGATGATGTAGAAGAAAGCAAGCAATGCGAAACGAGTTACCCAGTGAGAACAAACTCTTGGAATCTGCTCTCATGTGATTTGTGTTTTTCATTTGCTTGTTTGTGGGCCACACCTAGAAGTGTTTGGAACACTGCTCGAGGTTCTCCGAGTGATGCTCTTAGAACCCTGAGAATCTGACAACAGAACTGTAAGCTGTGAACCCTGCGCCACCCAACAGTGGGGAGGGCGCTTGCCTGGCGGGTGGTTTCATCCTGGCATCCCATATGGTCCCCAGAGCACCGCCAGGAGTGGTTCCCAGGAGTGATCCTTGAGCATTGCAGGATGTGGCCCCAAAACAAAGCAACAAACAAAAAAGGACTGTAAACCAGTGAGTGTAGGGGAGGCACTTTCCTGGTGGGGTGGGGTGGCAGCATTGCACCCCTATAGCACAAAAACATTTACTTTCTGGCAAACTAATAATACTCAAATAAAAAAATTAATTCGGGACGGAACAATAGCACAGCGGGAAGGGCATTTGCCTTACACAAGGCTGACCTGGGTTGGATTCCCAGCATCCCATATGGTTCCCTGAGCACCGCCAGGGGTAATTCCTGTGTGCAGAGCTAGGAGTAAGCCCTGAGCATCACCGGGTGTGATCAAAAAAGCAAAAAAAAAAAAAAATTTTTTTTAAATTCTCTAGAAACTGGAGAGATACACGGGGGTGAGGCATCGGATCCTGGCACTGAGGGAGGAGTAGTGTCAGCCAGCCACTGTTCACGACTACGACGACAACCATCCTGTTGTTCGTCGATTGCCTCAAGCAGGCCCCAGTAATGTCTCCTTCATCCTAGCCCTGAGATTTTTTAAAAAGTGCCATATGCAAGGCTCTTTCAGGATTAGGAGAATGAGACCCATCATTGTTACTGGTATTTGGCATATTGGGTATGCCACGGGGAGTTTGCCAGACTCTGTCTTTTGAGCAGGTTACATTCGGTAGCCTCTGTTCAGACTGAAAATATTGAATAATAACAACCCTCAAACTCAGGGTTTGAAACCCAAAAATTTAGGGGGCCCACAAACCGCCTCTACTGCCATGCAAATTCATCTACGAGCCTTGCTCCAGGCTCAACTAGCCACAAAAATTTCTTGGATATGGGGATATAGCCCAGTTAAAACTTTTAACTCCAGGGGCTGAAGCGATGCTACAACGGGGAGGGTGTTTGCCTTACACATGGCTGACCTGGGTTCTATCCCCAGCATCCCATATGGTCCCCCGAGCACCGCCAGGAGTAATTCCTGAGTCCACAGTCAGAAGTAAACCCTGCTAACCCCTGTGCATTGCTGGGTGTACCAAGAAAGAAAAAAAAAAAAACTTTAACTCCAGGAGCTAGAGTGATAGTCCAGCATTACCAGCCTTGTTTGCGGCCAATTTTCCCCATCCCATGGAGTCCCCAAGCCCACAGGAGTGATTTCTGAGTAAGCCCTGAGCATCACCTGCTGTGGCCCAACAAATTTCCTGGGGCCGGAGACACAGTATGGCAGATAGGGCACTTGCTTCGCCTGTAGCCAAACCAGGTGCCATCCCAGGCACTATATGTAGTCCTCGGAACCCCACCAAGAGAGATCCCTGAGTCTATTTTCATTATTTATTTTGGTTTTGAGGCCATATTGGCAGTGCTCAGGGCTGACTCGTGGTCTGCACTCAGGAATCACTGCTGGTGGTGCTGAGGGGACTACATGGGGTGCTGGGGATTGTACCTGGCTCGACCACACGTAAAGCAAATGCTCCTTGCTGTCCTATGGCTCCAGCCTGGACCTCTGATCTCTGAGCCCGGCTCAGGGTGGCTCCCAAACAAAATAAACCCAAATTAATTAATTAAAACGCTTATACAGAATGTGTGGAGTTCATGCCCACTTCAGTCAGCTTAATCAGTGGCTAAATACACAGCAGTACTCCTACATTTAATAAATAAATCAATCAAAATCAGAAAACTTTCATGTTGAGTTAAAAAAAAAAGTTTATGCAGAATGCCAGGCTGTGCTTTTTAATCGTTCTTAAGCATTCATTCACTATCTACCAATCATCTAACCCTGTGCTAAATTCTAGGAATTGGAATTAGGAATTCTAGGAATTAAGAAAACCTCGGGTGTGGGTAGGGTGCGTGGCCTGCAAACAGCTGACGAAGCAAGGAACGATATGCCAAACAGCTGCAGGCTGACGCTGAAGGAAGCCAGGGCCGGGCTTAGAGGCCAGAGATTAGGCTAAGCAGTCCTGGCTTCGTCTTGGGGCTTTTTGATCCACTGTTAGCTCAGTTCATTTTTACAGCCCAGCCCACCCGCCTTGGCTGGAGCAATAGTCCAGGCACGTGTGCCTTCCACATAGCTGACCCCGTTTGATCCCTGGCACTGAATACAGTCCCTAAGTCCTGCCAGGAGTGATTCTTCTTTTTTTTTTGCTTTTTTTGGGTCACACTCGGCGATGCACAGGAGTTACTCCTGCTTCTTGCACTCAGGAATCACTCCTGGCAGTGCTCAAGGGACCATATGGGATGCTGGGAATCAAACCTGGGTTGGCTGCGTGCAAGGCAAACGCCCTACCCGCTGTGCTATTGCTCCAGCCCCCCAGGGGTGATTCTTGAGTGCAGAGTCAGGAGGAAGCTCTGAACACCACCAGGTGTGGCCCATAAAGACAGAGACAGAGACGGAGACAGAGAGAGAGAATATCCCATATTCTAGTTTCACACGGAAGGTCCTTCAGTCTGCAGGGTGAGTGGTTTCGGTGGCCTGATTGAACACCCACTGGTGACTCAAGTGGAGTCTGCCTGCCGGGACCTTCATTCCCGCCCTCTGCTCCTTCTCCCAGCCCACATTTTCGACCACTGATAATTTGCTGTCTTCAGAACTCACACCCCTACCCCATCCCTATCTATCCATGCTCGGGACTGACTCCTAACTGTTCTTTCCAGACTCAGCAGGAGTCTTACCACTGGGGCCAGAGCGATAGTACAGCGGCATGTGCCTCGAAGCAGCTGAACCACGTTCGAACCCCAGCACTCCCTGTGGTCCCCTGAGCCCCACCTGGAGAAAGCCCCGTGCACTGCTAGGTATACCCCCCCCCCCAAGCCCAAACATAAAGCACATTCTTTTCCTGCCCTGTGTTGAGTATCCCCCCCTCTGTACCCCACAACTCTCCGCATTCAGTCGAATAGTTCATTTTTCTTCATAATCGCATCGTTCTACAGTGGGCCCGGTACATGCCTGAGGAATGAGTGGAGGGACTGAATGAGTGGGGACCTCCTGGCCTCCAGCCCTGCTTCCCTCCATGGCTCTGTACCTAACCGAGACCTCCTGACATCATCCCAGTTGCTCCTTTTCCGAGACGTGCTATGTCCATCCGGTCTCCTCCCTCGGGGACCCTCCTCTCACCAAAAAGCAAAAACAGATGCAGTGACTTGCAGAATCGAAGAAAATGCCCCGGCCTCATCCCTTTCTCTCAGACTCTGAAGGACAGCAACAGTGAACAACCCAGAAAGGAGGAGGAGGGGGAGGAAGGCCCGAGAGCCTTGGCCCAGGAGTCACGAGGCAGTAAGAGCTTCTGACGTCAGCCCAGCTCAGCAGCTGTGGCTCCGGCCCCACAGGGCCATCACTGCCCGCGATGGCCACAGCAGGGCCTTGAGCGTTATCTGGCCAGTCCCGTAATCCCCCTGCCCTGCCCCCCCCCCCCCCCCCCGCCCGACACACACGTGGCGTGGCTGTGTTTGGACCATGTGCCAGGGGAGGCCTGAGGACGCCAGGGCTGCTCCCCTGGGCCTGTGAGGGCTGGACAGAGCGGGTCACCCAAAGGGGGGAGGGAGGGAGGGAGGGAGGACGAGGACACCCAGGCAGTGCACACACACACACTATGACAAACGGGTCCCATATCCGTGTCTGTCTGTGGCACTGACGTCAGGCTAAGAGCTGGACCGTTCCAGATGATGTCAGTGCTCAAGGAAGGTGTCGCAGAGAGCCGCCCGGGCTGCTGCTTGGTGTGCAAGCGAGGACATCTCTGGATGGTTGGACCCCAGTAGGGCTTGGTACCGGGCTGCGGGACTGCCCTGTTCCACGTGGTCCCAGGCCTTTGGCTTTGGCAGATCCTGCCCCAGCGAGGCCAGCGAGCTGTGCTAAGGTCCTTGCTGTGTCTCTACACGACTCTTTGTGCCTACCTGGGTCAGGGCCGGACTACGCTGCTCCTTTCTGTCGCCAATATTCTGGCCAGGTGAGTCTGGCTTTCAAAGCAACCTGAAGGGCAACTTTAGAAGCAAAGATTTGTCCAGAGAGACCTGGGAGAAAGTGCAACCAGCTGGAGCAGTGCAGTGCGTGCAGGAGCCTGGGTTCGAACCCTGGCACAGGGTACGGCCCTCCCCCAGGAGCAAGCCTCTAACACCGTGGTGGGGCCCCAGCAAACAAAGAACTGGGCAGAGACCAGCACGCAGGCTGGGAGGGTGTCTGGGGACCACAGAGACACGTAGAGGCTGGGGCGAACCCCCCACGAGCCGGCCTCCCGCTGGCCAGGCGACCCCAGGAAAGTGTGAGGGAGGCCCCTCTCTTGCTGCTCTTGCTCCTGCTGCCCTCTGCTTCCTGACCCTGGGGAGCCTCCCCGCCCCATCCCCACCCGCAGGAGGGAAGCCCAGGGCTCTGGGGAAGTTGTTTGCACTGTAACTGGTAACGGGGAGAGGCAGGAGGCTGCAGAGAGAGCCAGAAGGTCAGGGACCATGTGCCCTTCCCCATCTGACCTTAGACACTCCGCCCAGGGCTGCTTTCCCCAGGCAAGGGCTGCCATTCAAGGCTCCACAGTTTTGTTTTGAGGCCAGACTGGATGGTGCTCAGGGCTCAGTGCTCAGGCATCACTCCTGGTGGTGCTGGCGGCAGAGGAGACCATCTGGGTTGGTGCGGGGGTTAAACTGCTCTCTCCCGGGTCTCTGCATCCCCTCACTGCGGGGGGGGGGGTCACACGGCTTCCCAGCCCGACCCCCCCGGCCCCCCACCCCCCACCCCTGCCTGCTCAGGCTCCCACCCTGCCGATGGGAGCCAAACCTGCCTCCTGTCTCACCCCTGCTTTCCTCCCGGCTCCCTCAAGAGGAAGGCTGAGTCGGAAGGGGCCCAGGAATGGGGTGCCCCGAGAAGGGGTTCAGAACCCAGGAGGGACATCCTGGACACTGGGGGCGTCCTCCGTCAATGACAGCACAAAGGGAGGACCAGGTGCCAGAGCACGGGACAGCGGGGAGGGCGCTTGCCTTGCACGAGGCCAACCCGACCCGTTTTGATCCCTGGCATCCCATAGGGTCCCCTGAGCACTTCCAGGAGTGAGTCGTGAGTGCAGGGCCAGAAGTAGGACCTGCACATCAGCAGGTGTGGCCCCAAAACAAGAAAAAGAAATTTTATTTTTGTTTGGGGGTCACATCCAGCCGTGCTCAGGGTTTACACTTGGCTCTGTGCTCAGGGATCACTCCTGGCTGGTTCCGGAGACCCTAGGGGAGGCCACGGATGGAGCCGGGGTCAACCGTATGCTAGGGAGATGCCTACCCACTGTACTATCGCTCTGGCCCCAAGAAAAAAAAGATTTAAGTGCTTGTTTGGATCCTAGACCTGTTTAGCTGGCAGTGTGAGAAGGTGGGCGTCCCGCGCTGTAGTACACCCCCACACACACACCCTAACTGAGGACCACCGACCCGGATGGTTGCATCTTTCTCAGCCGCTTCACCCCTCCATCCTTTGGCCTGCTCCCCTCCCTCCTCCCTGTGCCCCCCCCCCCCCCCCCGCGCCCCACCCCTCTGTCTGCTCCTGCAAACAGCTGGGCCACGTGGCCAGTGAGGCAATCGGCGTCCCTGACCCCTTCCGCTGCGCAGTGAGCAGTGGCCTTTTAATCTCATGGTGATGAGGCGCAGCCTTCAGCGGGCACATTTAAGGAGCAGCCCCCCTCCGGCGGAAGGCCAGAGAAGAGGCTGTGGTGGCAGTGAGCACAGGGCCAGCTCCCGCACCGCCGCCCATCCACCCGGCCTGCTGCGGCACGATGTTCCTCGCCACGGTCAAGCTGTGCGCCGGCAGCTCCTACAGACATGCGAGCAACATGAAGGGTGAGTGCAGGGCAGGGCGGCTCAGGGGTCCCGAGTGTGTTGGGGCTGCTGGGGCAGCGGGACTGGGCTGGGAGCCGGCCACTCTGCAGAGCTCGAGGGTGACAGCCCCCCTCCCTCCTGTACCTCCCCTTGGTTTTTTGGTTTGGTCTTCTCCACTGATGCTCAGGACTCACTCCTGGAAGTGCTCAGGGGACCCTATGGGATGCCGGGGATCAAAACGGGTCGGGTTGGCCTCGCGCAAGGCAAGCGCCCTCCCCGCTGTCCCGTGCTCTGGCACCTGGTCCTCCCTTTGTGCTGTCATCGAGGGGGGATGCCCCCAGTGTCCAGGATGTCTCTCCTGGGTTCTGAACCCCCTCTCGGGGCGCCCTGTTCCTGGGCCCCTGCCGACTCAGCCTTCCTCTCAAGGGAGTGGGGCGGGGGCGGGGGGAAGCAGGGGTGAGGCAGGAGGCAGCCTTGGCTCCCATCTGCAGGGTGGGAGCCTGAGCAGGGAGAGAGAGGGGGAGCCCGCCGGGCACCAGGTGACCCCTGCAGTGAGAGGACACAGAGCACCAGGAGACAGAACAGAAGCACCCACCTTGCAGGAGTCTCAGCAGTTCCATCGCTGCCACCATGGATGGTTCCCTGAGCACAGAGTCCTGAGCCCAGCAAGGTGTGGCCCCCAACATTAAACAACCAAACAAAAAAAAAAAGGCAGACCCAAAGTTCTGAAAGACACTTTCGTAGAGCTTCCCGGGTCCAAAGCATCTGAGTTAACCCTGCCCCTTGGGAAGGAAGGCTGGCCAAAAGAAGCCCTTGCTTTTGTTTTTGGTTTTGTATTTATGCTTTGTTTGGGGATCACATCTAGCGATGCTCAGGACTTACTCCTGGCTCTGCACTCAGGAATTACTCTTGGCAGGCTTGGGGGACCATATGTGGATTGAACCCGGGTTGGCAGAGTGCAAGGCAGACCCCTCCCGCTGTCCTGTCTCTCCAGTCCCTTATTTTCGCTTTCTGCTTTGGTTTTGGGCCATGCCCCGTGATGCTCAGGGCTTATTCCTAGCTCTGTCAGGGATCACTCCTGATGAGGCTCGGGGAGCGTACGGGGTGCCTGGCATCAACCCTGGGTCTGCGGCGTATAAAGCAAGCACCCTTGCCCCCTGTATTATGGCTTTGGCCAGTGTTTGCTTTCTGAGAGTTCATACCGAGTTCCTGGGGGATGAGGGAGAATCACTCTTGGAACTACTCAGAGTCACTCCAGGCAGTGCTCGGGGTATCAGAGGGCGCAGGGTCGGAACACCGGCTTCCCTGTACAAAGCCTACACGGTGCTCGCCCCCCACCCCCAGCCACCTCCCTGGCCCCTCATTCTTTTTCTGAAGCCAGATTTTTTTTTCTGCTTGTTCAAACAAAGCGTCTGTCTCTCCCTTTCAAGGACACTTCTGGGCTGGTGAGTCTAGTGGGTGGGTACTTGCCTTGCACAGTGGACTAAGCTAGTCCCCTGAGCCCTATGAGGGGCAATCCCTGACCACCACCTGGTGAGGCCCCCAAACAAACCAACCAAATTTCTTTGGTCTCTGGCACAGCTCCTGCCCCCAGGCAGAACCTGGTCCTGACACCCCTGTGGCAGCCACCATGCCGGGGGTCGAGGAGCTACGGCAGCGGCAACAAGAGGGGCCTGGCTCGGCCCGGCACCCAAGAGGCATCTGGTTTCCAGAAGGAAGCACTGTCCTCGGCAGACCAGCTTCTGTGACGGGGCTGGGGGACCCATTGCACAGGGCCGTTCTTGGTTCTCAGCGACTGTTTTTCCTGCAGGGCTGAGACAGCAGACGGTGCGGGCCATCGGGCAGGAGCTGAACCGCAGGGCTCTGGCGGGCCCAAGCCCTGGTGCTTGGATTAATCAAGTTCGGCGTCGGAGCTCTCTGCTGGGTAAGAGCTGAGGGCGCGGGGTGTGTGTGTTGGGGGGAGGGGGGTCAGCGCTGAGTGTGAGGCCACGTCCCCGCGTGCACCTGAGCCCGAGGCTCTCAGTGGCTGGGAAAGAACGCTCCTCAAGGCAGAGGCCTTCCCTGGGCCCACAGCTGTTTTGGCCTTGGCTCTTGGGAGGAATGAGGAGGAGCAGAGATGACAGGAACACAGGTGGTGAGGAGGGGGGGCGGGGGGGAAGGGAAGGAGGCGCAGCTGACCCCGGCTCTCGCTCCAGGCTCCCGGCTGGAAGAGACGCTTTACAGCGAACAGGAGCGGGCCTACATCCAGCAGGGGGAGGAGGCCCTGCAGAAGGCCCTGGGCATCCTTGGCGACCCCAGTGGCTGGAAGAAGGAGAACCAGCAGGTAAGGGCAGCCTGGAGGACCCGCTGTCGCACTCGCCTTCACCGCCCAAGGGCAGCTGGGCTGCTTCCTCAGGACCCTCAAGCAGAGGCAGCTGGTTTTTGTCTTACAGGCTCTTTCTTGGTGGGTTGGGGGAAAGGAAAGAACACACCGGGCAGTGCTCAAGGCTGACTCCTGGCTCTGCAGTCAGGGATCACTCCTGGCAGGGCGCCCAGGACCAGATGGGGTGCCAGGGATTGAAGCCTAGTCGGGCATGTGCAAGGCAAGTGTGTCTGACCTGCTGCCCTATCTCTCCAGCACTAGAAGCCAACTGTTTTTTTTTTTTCTTTTGGGTCACACCCGGCGATGCACAGGGGTTACTCCTGGCTCTGCCCTCAGGAATTACCCCTGGTGGTGCTCAGGGGACCATATGGAATTGAACATGGGTCGGCCACGTGCAAGGCAAACGCCCTGCCCACTGTGCTATTGCTCCAGCACTAGAAGCCAACTGTTTTGACTTGAGAACTCTCCTTTCCCAAGAATCTGCCTTCAGATACTCTTTTTTTTTTCTTTTTGGGTCACACCCGGCATTGCACAGGGGTTACTCCTGGCTCCGGCACTACTGGTAGTGCAGGAAATACTCCTGGTAGTGCTCGGGCGACCATATAGGATGCTGGGAATCGAACCCAGGTCGGCTGCGTGCAAGGCAAACGCCCTACCCACTGTGCTATCGCTCCAGCCCTGAGCTTCAGATATTCTCTCCCCCATCAATTCCATCCTAGAAACTTGAATTTGAGCAGCAATGCTCCTGCGTCCTGGGACGCCCTTCCCAAACACTGCTCGAGTCAGCCGAGACAGGCAGAGTGATCCCTGTGCCAGGGCCAGGGTGCAGTCTGGCACTTACGTGCCCCAGGAGCAGAGCGAACAGGGTGCCAGGGCCTGGGGGCTCTCCTCCACACACGAGAGAGCAGCCACAGTGCATATGAGAAAGACCAGTGAGTGGCCCTGGTGGACCTTGAACTTTATCGTCACGGAAGGATATGTGCTGCCCACAGTCAAACCTCTCTCTCTGGCTGGGGAGGTCACGGAAAGGCTGGGCCACCAACCTTCATGCAGGAGCCCTGGGTTTCATCACTCTGAGCACCAGGCTGTCAATCTGGCACTGTGTCAGCAAGCACCACAGCTGCGGGGTCCCTGGCCAAAGAACGGAACCTTCTTCTGGGGCAGGATATTAAGTATGGAACACACACACACACACACACACACACACACACACACACACAAACACACACACACCCTTGCTTGTTTTCTTTCCTTTCTTCCTTCTTTCTTTGGGGGAAGGGCATACTTGGTGATGCTCAGGGGTTCCTCCTGGCTCTGCACTCAGGAATCACTCCTGGGGGCTGGAGAGATAGCACAGCGGGTAGGGCATTTGACTTGCACGCGGCCAACCCAGGTTCGATTCCCAGCATCCCATGTGGTCCCCTGAGCACTGCCAGGAGTAACTCCTGAGTGCAGAGCCAGGAGTAACCCCTGTGCATTGCCAGGTGTGACCCAAAAAGAAAAAAAAAAAAAGGAATCACTCCTGGCAGTTCGGGGGACCATACAGGATGCCGGGGATCAAACCCAGGTCTGCTGAGTGCAGAATGCTGAGCACCCCACCTGCTATATCATCACTCTCTTGATTTCCCTTTGCTTTCTCTTGATTTCGGGGCCACACCCAGCAGTGCTTGTATCTGGCTCTGCGCTCAGCACCATACGGCACAAGTGCCTTCATCCACTGGACTCTCCCCCAGTCACTGAAACAGCTTCAAGAGCTCATGCACACCCATCCATGTCACTCGCTGTTTGGACCAGGCTTGCCCATTTCTGAGGTTCTCTTCGTCAGTCTTTTGAGTCGCTGGTGTCAGGCCAGGGCCTCTTTAGACCCACGCCACCATCTGCCTCTCCCACCATGTTTGCAGCACGTCCTGTGCAGTGGACAGATAACGCAGGGCTGGGGCTGGAGTGATATCACAGCGGGCAGGGCATTTGCCTTGCACGCGGCTGACCTGGGTTCGATTCCCAGCATCCCATATGGTCCCCCAAGCACGGCCAGGAGTAATTCCTGAGTGCATGAACCAGGAGTAACCCCTGTGCATTGCTGGGTGTGACCCCCCAATAAAAAAAAAAAGGTAACGCAGGACTCAAGGCTGGGAGCAGGCTCGGGCGACTCAGGCTGAGCCGCGAGCTCCTTTTTGCTACGCTGCTTCCTGTGCACCCCAGGATACATATGTGTAGTTGTTTTTTTTCTTGAGTCGCACCTGGTGGTGCTCAGAGCTGACTCCCGGCTCTGTGCTCAAAGGATCACTCCTGGTGGTGCTGGGATCAAGCCCAGCTCAGCCACAGGCACGGCAAGAGCCCCGTCCGCTGCGCCCTCTCTCCCGCCTGCTGGCCGTTCTCCCTCTGACCTCTGTCCCGGGCTTCTCCCTGGCAGGGGAATGGGGACCTGGTGCTGAGTAAGGTGATCCCAGACGTGGGCAAGGTGTTCCGGCTGGAGGTGGAGGTGGAGCAGCCCGTGGACAGGCTCTACGAAGAACTGGTGGAGCGCATGGAGGCCATGGGAGAGTGGAACCCCAACGTCAAGGCGGTCAAGGTGAGGCGCGCAGGTGTGCGCGGGCTCCTCCAGCAGCGGCAGCGCGCGTGAAGGGCGGCTCAAGAGAGCAGCTGGGGGGTGCTGCCTTCGGCTCAGCCTCGGCCAAGGAGTGACCCTGGGTCCCTGTGGCCCGGCAGGTTCTGCAGAAGATCGGAAAGGACACTATCATCACCCACGAGCTGACCGCGGAGTCGGCAGGGAACCTGGTGGGGCCCCGCGACTTCGTCAGCGTGCGCTGCGCCAAGCGCCGAGGCTCCACCTGTGTGCTGGCCGGCATGGCCACGGAGTTCGGGGACATGCCTGAGCAGAAGGGGGTCATCAGGTAACGCTGGCTGCCCTCCCGCACCCCTTCCTCGAAAGCCACTGGGTCCTGGCCTTCCCGGACTCGACTCTTACCCAAGGGAAAGGCTGAAGTCTATTTTTGGCTCTCGGGGCCACGCCCAGCTGAACTCAGGGGTTGCCCCCAGTGTGTGCCAGGGTCTTTCCCAGGGATGCTGGGGAGGCCACACAGATCAGGATCACCGTGCCCAGACCTCCGGGCCGCAAGGCACGTGGGCAGCCCACCGGGCTCTCTCTGGCCAGGGCGGAGGCTGGCTCAGGTCATGCAGAGGTGATTGCGGCACACTCCTTGGCACTACCCAGTCTTCCGAGGACCCCAACCACCACCCTGGACCTCCTCCCCACCTCCCTGTGATCCAGCCCTAGCAGATACCAGCTGGACCCGCTGGTTCTGCTCCAGTGCTTCCCCTGGCCCAGGGCGCTTCTCTGATGAGATTTGGAAAGGGCATATTTGTACAAGAAATACGCGGCTCCTGTAGCAACCTAGCATACGAATATGGTACAGGAGGTGACCCCCAGCACTGAGCTGAATCCCTCGCACTGCACATGACCTCCCGTGCACAGCTGGGGGTCACTCCCAAGCACAGAGTCAGGAGTAGCACCTCAGTATGCCAGGTCGGACCCAAGTGCTTCCCACTCCCCCCAAAATGGGACTCTTAAATTTAGTCGTGGTGGGGCTGCAGAGATAGCACAGCGGGTAGGGCGTTTGCCTTGCACGCAGCCGACCTGGGTTCGATTCCCAGCATCCCATATGGTCCCCTGAGCACCGCCAGGAGTAACTCCTGAGTGCAGAGCCAGGAGTGGCCCCTGTGCATCGCCGGGTGTGACCCAAAAAGAAAAAAAAATTCAAATAAATTTAGTCTTGGATATTTTTTTTGGGGGGGGGGGCACACCCAGCTGTGCTCAGGGATCACTCCTGGAGGAGCTGAGGGATCATATGAGGTGCTGGGGATTCAACCTGGCAAATGCTTTACCTTCTGTACTGTTTCTCCAGCCCCGCTAAAAATTGCTTTTTTTGGGGGGGGGAGGTCACACCTGGCGGTGCTCAGGACTTACTCCTGGCTCTGTGCTCGGAACCATATGGGATGCCAGGACCAAACCCAGGTCTGCGTGTGCAAGGCGAACCCCTACCTGACGTACTACAGCTCTGGGACTTGTTTGTTTGCAGAGCCGAGCATGGTCCCACCTGCATGCTGCTCCGGCCCGTGACAGGGAGCCCCTCAAAGACCAAACTCACCTGGCTGCTCAGCATCGACCTCAAGGTGAGGGCACGGCACGGGGCTCGGTGGGAAGCGGGCAGCGAGGAGACCACCTGTGCAAGGGGACACGCCTCTGCTGCATTGGAGGGTCTGTCCGCTGTTCTGCCCCTCACAGCCTGCATCGGCTCCCTCTCCACCTCCTCTCAGGTGCAAAATCAGAACTGACCTTTTTTTTAAAAAAAATTTTTAATAGTGAGACATCATGAGGTACAGTTGCAGACTTACACATTTTTGTGCTTGGGTTTCAATTATACAATGATCAAATGCCCATCCCTCCACCCGTGCCCATTTCCCACCACCACGGATCCCAGTATCCCTCCCACCCCCCATCCTCCCCACCCCACCCTGCCTCTGTGGCAGGGCATTCCCTTTTGTTCTCCCTCTCTAGAATTGACCTTTTTCTTTTTTTTTTGCTTTTTGGGTCACACCCGGCGATGCTCAGGGGTTACTCCTGGCTCATGCACTCAGGAATTACTCCTGGCGGTGCTCGGGGGACCATATGGGGTGCTGGGAATCGAACCTGTGTCAGCCATGTTGGCTACGTACAAGGCAAAGGCCCTACCCGCTGTGTTATGGCTCCAGCCCCTAGAATTGACCTTTTTTTTTTAAGTTTATTTTTATTTATTGTTTTGCTTTTTGGGTCACACCCAGCGATGCTCAGGGGTTACTCCTGGCTCATGCACTCAGGAATTACTCCTGGCGGTGCCTGGGGGACCATATGGGATGCTGGGAATCGAACCCGGGTTGGCCGCGTGCAAAGCAAATGCCCTACCCGCTATGCTATCGCTCCAGCCCGAACTGACCATTTTTAAAGAAGGAAACTTAGGCCTCAGAAAGTGACTTGCTCAGGGTCACGCAGCTGAGAAGAAATGGGTTGACAAATTCTGTGCCTGTCTGTGTCCTGAAGGCGGTGCCACCGTGCAGTCCTCCAGCCCATGACCTTGACTGTGCACGGCCGTCCCTCCCAGCAGAGCGGGATGGTCAAGCCGCAGGCAGCACCGGGGCAGTGTGGCTGACCCTGTCCTCTTATCTCCTCCAGGGCTGGCTGCCGAAGACTATCATCAACCAGGTGCTCTCCCAGACCCAGGTGGACTTCGCCAACCATCTGCGCCAGCGGCTGAAGTCCAGCGTCCCCGCGGAAGCCCGGGGCTAGAGAGGAGGCTGCTCCCCACGGGCCCCGCGCTGGAGAATGCCCGCCCAAAGCCCGCCACTCAAGCTCTGGGCACCGTGGGGTGGGATAGCGTGTGTAAGGGGAAGACAGGAGAGCACCAGCTGGTAAAATTTTAGTACGAGAAAGTAGCGATGAGACTAAAATGAGCATTCTATCATTTCCCACTGATTAACTATGAAGTGAAAGGTCCCCAAAGGACAAAACATTCCCCCCAACCCTCACTGTGGGTCTTTAGGGGGGAAAAAAATCTTTAAAATACTATTTTTTTTCTCGAAAACAAACAAACAAAAAAAACACCCCCAAAACCTCATTACTAGACTGGTTCCCTACTTTTTTCTTCTACAAGCACCTGCCAGAATAAAAGAATCAGAACCAAGGTGGCTGGATACGGCACTGCAGTAGCAATTGTAGTGGCCAGTCCTGAGTCCAGCACATACGGGCCCCAGCACCACCAGAATCAGCCCTGAGCACCCCGGCTGGAGCCCAAGAGCCGGAAGAGGAAAGAAAAAGAATCATGTCAAAGCTTCAGGCTGCCTGCTCCAAAATAGTACGGAATGGACTTGGGAGGTAGAACCGTGGGTGAAGCTGACTCGGCTTCAGTGTGGCACTGCATGCAGGAGTGAGCTTTGAGTGCAGATCCAGGAATAAGCTCTGGACACAGCAGCTGTGGCCCCAGACCCCAAGCCCACCCCATCCACCCCCATCAAATAAACCCTAAAGGACTGGGGAGAGAGCTCAGTCGAGAGTACATGCCTGGCTCCTGAGTTCAAACCCTGCTACCACATGATCCCCCAAGAAATGCAGGAGGTCCCCTCAAAAAAAAAAAAAAAGAGAGAAAACCACCTACAGGAAAATCGTAACACACTGCAACTTTATACTAGGGGAGACTTGGACCGAGGTTTTTATTCAAACCAAATCCTCTAGCTTTTATTAAAAGGAAAATATTGCCGGGACTTGTACCAATTATCTAGTCTTTTAACAGAAGCTCTCACAAATTTTTGTTTTCCACAGAATATAAAATCCCAAGTCCATTCTCTTGTGAGGTTTTTGAGCCACCCTCTGGAGGTGTATGTAGAGCCAGGGACCAAACCCAGAGTGCCTGCACATAAGCAGGTTTACTCCTGGCACCAAAAAAAAAAAAAGAAAAAGAAAGTTAAACTTGTAGTTGATTAATAGGCAGTTGACAAGTGTTTTCACTTGCCTACTTAAAAAAAGAAGAAAGCACAGACGAGCATGAGGAGTTATTACGGCAGTAGTTAAAAGCAGGTTTTCTCACCCCACGATCGTCCTTATTCGTCGATTGCCTCGAGCAGGCCCCAGTAACGTCTCCTTTGTCCTAGACCTGAGGTTTTTAAAAAAGTGCCATATTCAAGGCTCTTTCAGGGTTAGGAGAATGAGACCCCTCATGGTTACTGGTATTTGGCATATTGGGTACACCACAGGGAGTTGGCCAGACTCTGCTGTGTGGGCAGGTTGCAATCGGTAGCCTGCCAGTTTGTCCAAAGTAGGCATGAGATGATAAGATGTCTCGCGACCGCAAATGCAGCCGCGCGCTTCCGGGAGCTGGGTTTTAGTCTCTGAGTCTGATCGTCCTTAGTAAAGGAACTCAGCACCCATCTGCTCAGCCGGCTCTGGCTGCCAGCTCATCTGCTTGAACTTTCTGGAATCACAGTAAGAGATGACTGAAAGGACCAACAGGGTGGGGCAGATTCTAAGAGTGAGAGGACCGATGCTTTACAAGTAAGAGCTGGGGTGGACTTCCCTTGCAGAAATGTGAGATAGAATGAAAAGCCAAATATTATCACTTGACGCTTTTCCAGACTAGTTCTAAAGGCACTGATTAGCATTAGTTGAAAGTAGAGCTCTAGCGTATTTATTGAGTACATTAGCAAGAGTGGGGATGCTAGTATTTATTAACGCATTAAAATTTTACAACTGATAGCTTTTTATTATTTATTGATTGTTCAAAAAAGGCTTACTTTTGGCAGATGAAATGACAGCTCAGCTGGGGCCAGAGAGATAGTACAATGGGTAGAGCACTTGCCTTGCATGCAGCCAACTCAGGTTCAATCCCAGGTACCTCATATGGACCCCCAAGCACCAACAAGAGTGATTCCAGAACACAGAGCCAGGAGTAAGCCCTGAGTACCACTGGGTTTGCCACCCCCACCAACAAAATTATTCATCTGGGGCTGGAGCGATAGAATGGCAGGGCACTTGCCTTACATGTGGCTCACCTGGGTACAATCCTGGCACACGTGTGGCCCCCTGAACCTGCCAGGAGTGGCCCCTGAGAGCAGAGCCAGGAGTAAGCCCTGAACAAGCCAGGTCCCACCCTCCCCCCTCCGCCCCGGGAGGGAAAAAAAAAGGAATTATTGTCATCTGTCCAAGAGCCAGAGAGGGGAAGAGTTGTAGACATTTCAGAATGGAGTTATCATCCTTCCCAGTTAAGATGGCGAAGGGGAAGGTCTGATGGAGACCCAGCTTTGATTCATGGCACTGCCTGGCTCTAGAACTGCCGGGGGCGCCCTGTCCCCTAAACAGAACGTGCTCACACCCTGAGCCACCAAAACCGATGGCTATTTGTTTAAAGATGTATAAAGTAACACACACTGGTTTAAAAAGAAACACTGGCTAAGAGTAAAGACGTGCTCTCAACATCGTGGTTCGGAGCTGGATTATAATTTGCCTTCTTTAATCTATGCAGTTGTCTGAAGTGACTAGGGATTTTCTCATTTGTTTTACAATGGAATAAAATGTCAGTGATGATCTGTTTGGGGATGATACTGGTCTACAATGTAAACATACCCTCTACCGGTACAGTGGCAGCATCCCCACCGCCCCTTAACCACAGTGATCAAGACCTGCCAGCACTCCCGAGATCAGAGTCCAAGGTTTACTTTCATCGGCCCCTAGTCCTTCATTTTTCATTTTTTGGTTGTTGAGCCACGCTGGCAGTACTCAGGATTCACTCCTAGCTCTGTGTCTGGGCTCACTCTTGGTGGGGGTGGGGTGACATGGGATGCGGGGACAAAACCCAGGTCCTCCAACTGTCCTGCCCCCCTTGGTTGGTTTCCTGAATCAATCCCAGCTGCATGAATGACTCTCCTGATTATGCTCAGGGATCCCTCCTGAGGGGGTGCTGGGGATCGAACCCCGGGGGGAGACCCCCCCCCACTGTACTATTGCCCGGCCCCTCCCTTTCTTTCTGTACCGCAGAAACCACGTGACAGGGAACTGCGCACAGGCCGGCGCATGCCCAGTGAGCCCTCCTACTGACCCCTCCTGAAGTCACCTCCCGTCTCACTGAAGCACTCCATGGATAGGGGAGCACGGTTTCAACCCTGAGCACTGCTCACTCCCCTGAGCACAGGGCCGGCAGCCTGAGCCCTCGGGGAGGGGGAAACGGAAGCAACCCAAGGATTCACTGGCAAAGTTATCATTTCTCTAGCCTCTACTTTGTAGAAGGACAATACAAGCTAGAGACTGGGCCCGCAGCTTACACATTCACTTGTTACCTAACAAAGATTTGGGGCCAGAGATGCTCAACGTGCTTTGTACGCAGGAGGCCTGGGCCCCACCCCCAGCACGGCCTTGGTCCCTTGAGCACAGAACAGGAGTCTCCTGAGCACTGCTGCATGTGGCCCGAACACACCCTCTCCTTCAAAAAATCTTTCGCCTGTTTTTCCTCTCAACAGCAGCACCCCCACCTTGAAAGTACCTTCAGGCTCACTCTTCAAGCCGTGTTCTCTGAACACCAATCTTGCTTGTCTGCAGTCTGGAGACTGTTTTGGTTTTTGCCACCCCCAGCAGGCTGAGGGCTTACTCCTGCACTCCTGGTGGGGCTCTAGGGACCATTATGGGGTGTGAGGATCAAACCCAGGTCGGTCCCATGCAAGCAAGTGCCCACCCCCCACCCCCATTTTCCCCATCGCGTCTTCTCTCACATCTTTTTTTTTTTTTTGCTTTTTGGGTCACACCTGGCAATGCACGGGGGTTACTCCTGGCGCTGTGCTCAGGAATTACCCCTGGCGGTGCTCAGGGGACCATATGGGATGCTGGGAATCGAACCCGGGTCGGCCGCGTGCAAGGCAAACGCCCTACCTGCTGTGCTATCGCTCCAGCCCCATTCTCTCACATCTTTCTAAGCAAGTTTTGATGAATAAAAACTACCTTACTTCGCTTTAAAAAAAAAAAAATGTCTCCAACTCTGATAACGAAGAGGCTATCACCAAACCAGCTGTGAGTGAGCAGGTGCGGTGCCTGGGGGTGAAGGACAGGCCTTAGCCTGCATTTATACAAAACTGAAAAAAGCACCTGGCTACTTGTTAGAGGACAGACAGATCAGCCAAAGGTACCATTGTTAAATACAAATAACCATTTGAAATTTGGTGAAATTTAGCCAAACCTTGGAGGCCAGCGATAGGGCAGTGGGTTAAGTGCTTTCCTGGCACTCGGCTGAGCGGGTCTGACCCCCAGCACTCCACATAGTTCCTGAGCACCACCAAGCACGAGCCCTGAGTGCAGAGCCAGGAGTAAGCCCTGTGCACTGCCAGGTGTGGCCCCAAATCAAGAATTTTAAAGAAAAAAATTTGGTCAACCTCAAATGAGTAAACAGGCATGATTTGTGGTGAATTTGGCACATACTAAATATCTCAGTCTACAAAAGGGAGGTGAGGGCCGCAGTGCTAGGAAGCAGGTAGGGACCTGGCCTGGCCTTGGCTGGCCCGGGTTCCATCCCAAGCATGGATCTCCGAGCAGAGCCTGGAGTAAGCCCTGGGCACAGCTGGTGTAGCCAAAAAAAAAAAAAAAAGGGAGATAAAAGAAACCTCCGCGTGACTCTTGCTCAACTCAATTTTATCAAGACTGGCTGTGGGCAGGGTGAAACAGGAAGTCGAGACTGAGGGACCATCTGTGCAGATTCCCGACACTGCTGGTCTAACATCACTGGGGGCCGACACGTCAGGCCGGGGGCCTTGAGCGCCCACCCCCATCCCACCCTGACACATCTCGGGGCCAGCACTGGAGGGCGCTGTGGGTCAGGGCTCGGAGCAGCGCACAGACCATCTGCTCCCCAAAGGGCATCTCATTCTACACTTGGAGTCTATTCTGAAACCCACCCTCGGTCCTCGGCTATCGCAAAGGCTGATAAGGCAGGAAAACCTGCACTCACCAACACGCTTGCTCAAACAGAAGAGCTGGAGGGAGGCCACGAGGCCTTTTAAACTCGCTCGCTTCCTTGGGATCCGATTTTCGTAGCTGTAAGGGCGTATTGGGCTGGCGGGGGAGAGTGAAGTGGCAATGAGTCCTGTCACTCACTGCCTCACTCAGCCCACGTTCCCAAACCTGTCGGGGAGAAACCTGGCCGGAAGGGAAGGAAAAGTGCCACGCCACGTTGAAGACAAGTTTTATTGGGGAAGTTTCTGATGGTTCAGGCTGCAAGCACGCTCCCTTCAGGGAAGGTCCACAGGCCCAGCAGCCGCAGACGCCAGTGTCAAGTCTACTTTACACTCAAGAACACAAGCCCGCCCCTGGGGAAGGTGTTCCGGCGTGGTCTGGAGTGGGCAGCCACTGACCTCAGCTGTCCTCACTGTCCACCGCTTCCTGGAAGTCAGGCCGGGTGATACCACTGAGCACAGAAGGACATGGCCTTCCACGAGTGGTTTGGACAAGAAGCTTCACGCTTTAGAAGACGCAGTGAGACGACAAGTCCCAGTGGTGGGGCAGGTGGCACACAGCACCAGTTTTACAGGGGGCTCGGGCAGGCAGGGCAAGGGCAGCAGGTGTTGGCAAAGGGCACACAAGACAGAGCAGCCAGCAGGAGCGAGGAGTGCTTGAACCTGCCCCGGCCGGGCTGAGCTGCCTCTTCCAGAACACATCTGCGGCGTTTCCCAACACCCCCCACCCAGCCCGCCCCGTTCCCCAGAGTTCAGGTCAGCAGAGACAAGAGAGAGAGGGTCCTGGTCAGGGTTCCCAGGGGGGACTCCGCCTCCCGTCCACTTCCGTCTCCACGTGATACAAGACGTCAGCCAGGGTGTGCTCCACCACGGCGCCCCAGCCCATGTCACTCATCTGGGGGAGGAGAAGAGAGGGAACCGGTGAGGGGCGTAACCACAGCACCGAGCACGCGGGCACAGACCCCCAGTGTCAGCCTTACTCACTGGGCGGCAAGTGAGGTCCTTTGGAGGAAACTTGAAGCATGGTCCAAAGTTAATGGAAACCTGGGATCAGAGAAGCAGCAGTAGTAAACAGAACGAAACAGAGAAAAAGTTATGGGGCCAGGAAGAGAGTACAGTGGGTAGGGCATTTGTCTTGCCCTACATGGGTTCAATCCCCGGCACCTCATATGGCCCCCTGAGCACGACCAGGAATGATTCCTGGGTGCAGAGTCAGGAGTAAGCCTTGAGCATTGCCACGCATGGCCCAAAAAACAAACAAACAAAAAACAAAAAAAAAGAAAGAAAAAGATCAAGAAAACAGTGAAAATGTTAATTTGGACACAGTACATTTCTCTGTCCAAATGGAGCCTCGGGGGCCGAGTGTGTGCTTTGCACATGACAGGGGGCAGCCAGCCAGCGCGGCAGAATCCCAGAGCATGACTCAGGATGCCCCCACCCCACCCCCGGAATAAAATGTCAGGGGAGAGCGTTCCGAGGGAGGGTGTGCCCTCGGGGTTCGGCCCGCCTTGGGAACAGCCCCCCACCCATGAGCACTGCTGGGTATGCTTCCGCCACCTAGAACCCAAAGAGGAAAACCCTAACAGGCTGCGCTATTCCTCATATTTTGAAAACACAAATCAAGGGGGCCCGGAAGGCCAGGGGAGGGCCCAGGCCCATCTCCTGTGGCAGCAGTGGGCGAGGTACGCACCGTGCAGCTCTTGTACAGCGAGATGGCGGGGAAGTACACCCCTTCGAAGATGTCTTTGTAGGCCACGCCCTGATTGACGCCATTTTTATAGAATATTATCTGAAACAAGAGTCAGGGTTTTACTTAAAATTTCTAAACACAAGACAGGGCTAGAGAGAGTACACTGGGCCAGGCGCTTGCCTTGCACACAGCCGACCTGGGTTCGGCAAACACCTACTACGTGCTACTGTTCTGACCCCTTGAGCCTATCTTCATGTACTATTTTAGCTGGTCTTAAGATTTGTGCTCTATCCAAATTCCTATGCTACTTACACCAGAGAGCTCTATTATCACATGCTACATTGCGTTTCTAAAATTCCATTTGATGCCCGGGGCCAGAGAGATACAACACTGGTAGGGTGCTTGCCCTGAACGCAGACACCCAGTTTCGATCCCCAGTATTTCATACGGTCCCCTGAGCACTGCCAGGAGTAACTTCAAGCACAGAGCCAGGAGTAAGCCCTGAGCATCACCAGATGAGGACCCAAACCCAAAACAAATCTTCATTTGGGACCTGAGTGACACTACAGTGACAGGCTCAGGTTTGATCCCCGGCACCCCAAATAGTCCCCTGAGCCCCACCAGGAATGATCCCTGAGGGCAGAGTCAGGAGCAAGCCCTGAGCATCGCTGGCTGTGACCCAAAACACACAAAACAATTGTCACTGTCACTGTCCTCCTGTTGTTCATTGATTTGCTCGAGCAGGCCTAGTAATGTCTCCATTGTGGCACTTGTTACTGTGTCTGGCATATCGAATACGTCACAGGTAGCTTGCCAGACTTTGCTGTGCGGGCGAGATACTCTCGGTAGCTTGCCGGGCTCTCTGAGAGGGGCAGAGGAATCGAACTCGGATCGGCCACGTTGGCTGCATGCAAGGCAAACACCCTACCCGCTCTGCTATGGCTCCAGCCCAATTGAAAAATAAAAAATCCATTGGTCTCCCGTGGAATCTTACCCATCTATCTGTCTCCTTTCCTTGTAGCAAGTTCGCTCTTCTGCAAATTCAAAAGATTTTTCTTTTGAAAAATCTGGGTAGGATTTTCTGTCAAAGTTTCTCAGTCTTTGGGGGTGGAGAGACAGGTCAATGGGCTCTGTGCATGCTTTGTTAGTAAGGGGCCAAGTTCAATCCCTGGCCCCGCATGGCCCGACTACTGCTAGGGGGAGCCCAGGCAGAGCCAGAACAACCCTGAGCACAACTGCTGTGGGCAGACATCTTTCTCCTGCGCTCTCCTTTCCTGCCTCTCTCCTAAAAGTTCTCTTGACGACTAAATATTCTCAACCAATATATATGGACTTCAGAAAAAGTCACTCCTTTTAAAACATTCATTTTGCTTTTTTTCCTGGCAAGAGTTATCTTTTCCCTGCCTCGTCCTCCACAGACCTGTTTCCTTTTACCATTTTTTTCCTTAAAATCAACTGGCACCCTAGGTTTTCCTACATCTACATTCACTTCTGTGTCTGTAGTGGTGACAGCCCAGCAGTTCTGTAAAAGTATTTCCAGCCCAGAACTTTCCACCTCTCTTCTACTCTTAGTCGAGTGGCCAGTCCAGGTGTGCCACCTGAGCTACGATGTCGGTAGGTATGTTCCCGTCAGCCCTGGGGAAGGCAGGCAGGGAAAGTTCCAGAGACACCAATGGTGGGTGTCTGTGCCTCCAGATCACACACAGCAAGGCCAACATCCTCGCAGCCCGTGCTCTTCCCGTCTCAACTGTTCTGACAATCTTACAGGTTTTCTTACTGGACCACTGTTTTACCCTCGAGAATGTTCCCGAAAGAACACCTGTCACTCACTGCTGGCTGCCGCCCAGTACCAGAGAAAGAGCACACACACAGGCGGTGGCAGGGCCCATCCTGCAAATAGCTGGTTAGCAGAAAGCCCCTCCTTCCCCTCAGACCCTGTTCCTCTCCTTGTCGGTCAGTCGGCCCGGATCTTCAGGGACTTGCAGTTCTGATGTTTTGACAACTGGGACTCACCTCACTATGTGGAGTCTGTTTCAGGCTCTTCTCCGCTTTATCCACAAAGTCTTTTTCCTCAAAATACAGGTAACTCTTGAACTTTATCAACGCCTTAAGAAACAGCAGAACCCAAGAGAGGAGAATATTAAAGCACCAGCTACACGTGTACGTCACGATGTGAGAAGGAAAGAAGCCGAATCCTCCAGGAGTACCAAGACCTTGGGACCTAGAGCAGCAATTCCAAAATCTTTGCAGCTAACGTCCTAAGGCTTTTAACAAACGTGTGCCTTTTACAAAACACCTGGGGTGGGGCTGGAGAGCGAACAGGGGGTGACGTGCTTGTGTTGCACAACCCAGGTCCTATTCCCAGCACCTCATATGGTCCCCAAGGCACTCTCAGAAATGACCCCTGAGCAGAGATGGTAGTAACCCCTGAGTACTGCCAGGTGTGGTCCCCAAACCAAACCAAATTTAAAAAGTGCCTGGTGTTGGGACCCGAACGATAGCCTAGGGGTGAAAGCACTGCCTTGTGTGCAGCCAACTCCGGATCCACCCGTGATACCATGTGTTCCCTAGCCCCACCCCCCAGCACTGCCAGGTAAAGCTGGGAAACCCCAGAGACCCGAGTAGCGGCCCAGCCTCAGATCCACCCAGCTGGCTGGGAACTGCCGAGGGTGGCTCAAAGCAGGGAGGGCAGGTTTCACATGCGGGAGCCCCCACTTCAATACTCAGCATCACCTGGTGCCCTGAGCAGACTCAGAAGTAGCCCCTGGGAACCACAGGGTGTGGCTCCCAAACTCAGAAGATACAGGAGGAAGGACTGGGTGAAACGGTAAGTCACGGCAGGCGAGCTGGGCTCTACTCAGACACTGGCTTAGGTCCTTCTAATTCTTCTTCTTCTTTATTTTTTTTGCTTTTTGGGTCACACCCGGCGATGCTCAGGGGTTACTCCTGGCCTCCTGGCTCTTGCACTCAGGAATTGCTCCTGGCGGTGCTCGGGGGACCATATGGGATCCTGGGAATCGAACCTGGGTTGGCCATGTTGGCTGCGTGCAAGGCAAGCACCCTACCCACTGTGCTATCACTCCAGCCCCAGGTCCTTCTAATTCTGATACATGTGAAAATGCGCAGAAGGGAATGCTGGGAAGAAGTACAGTCCGGCAAAGACCAGGGAGTGGGTGCAGGCATCAGGCACCGGCCGAGACACAACCCGGATCTGATGCCCAGCACCAGCCGAGCCAGGGCATTCCGAGCCTGCTGGGTGCGGCCCACCCTGCTCCCCCTAAAGAATGACAGGCCGGCAGCAGAGACCGAGCAGGCATGGCTGTGGGTGCCGCTGCCACAGGCCTCCGGAGCCAGCCAGCCCGTCATTCTATGCAGGCTCCATCTCCAGACACACACGGTCCCCGGGACCCTGCCGCTGTGCCCAAACACCAAAACACAGAACAGGCCAGAATCTCCGAGACCAACGCACCTTGTCTTTGTACGTGTCGGGCAGTGACCTCGCGGTCTCGGTGTCCTCAGGAAGATTGATGTAGAACCCCAGGACATCTCCCTGCCCGTAGCCCGACGAGTAGTGTTTGCCAATAGACTGGTGAAACTTGGTCCCTTTTTTGCTCCGCCAAGAATAGCTAAATTTATCATAACCTAAGGGAGCCTGAAGGTTACCTGCCGCAATTAAAAAAAAAAAAAGATATAAAAGCAAGTCAATTCCGGTTTGCTAATAAAAGGCTATTTTTAATTTTGGGGTCAGTTTTATAAAAATTGCTAAAAGGTTTCTTATAGACAAAGAATAACAGGGGCCGGAGAAGTAATAGAGCAGGCAAGGCATCTGCCTCCCATGTGGCGGACCCGGGTTTAGCCAGCACCCCAAAACAACCCCCTGAGCAGAGGCAGAAGCAAGCACCGGGCACTGCATGGTGGGGCCCACAACAAAACTGTCACTGTCACTCCCACTGTTCATCGATTTGCTCAAGCGGGCCCAGTAACGTCTCCATCATGAGACTTGTTACTGTGTTTGGCATAGCGAATACGTCACGCGTAGCTTGCCAGGCTTTGCCATGCAGGCAAAGATTCTCTCGGTAGCTTGCCAGGCTCTCCAAGAGGGGCAGAGGAATTGAACCTGGGTTGGTCACGTCGGCCGTGTGCAAGGCAAACACCCTACCCGCTGTGCTCTGGGAACTGCAGTGTGTCCATGGTAGAGCTAGGGAAGATCCCTCTAACACGCACACGCACAAGCATGCACGCACACACACACATGCGCGCACACATGCCTCTACACCCACCAGCACGGGCCCGGAGTCCTGCATCCACCACCCGCCTCTAGCAGGGCACAGGCACACCCCCACTCACCTAAGGGCTGGGACCACCCCAGCCTGGCAGCAGTGTCGGGCGGCATCTCGTCCACGGTGATCTCAAAGTACCAGGCGCCTTTCCGCACCCCGTGAGAAGCCCGGACCATGGAGTAGCCCTTCTCTCCAACCACAGTCAGCCGGTCATCAGAGATCTTTAACTGGGGAGCTGCAGTGACAGGGAAACACGCAGTCGGAAACAGATGAAATCTGTGGAAGCTGGGAGACAAATGCCCCAAAAATGGGTCCCTTCAGCTCCAGGAAAACAAGACAAAACCCAGAGGGACAAGGTTGCAGATCAAAGTCAGGTCAGGAATTTGAAATCTGAATTCAGGCGGCCACAGACACGATAGTGGGGAGGCGCTTGCTTCACATGTGGCCGACCTAGGTCTGACCCTCCGCATCCCTTATGATCCTCTGAGCGCTGCGGGGAGTGGCCCAGCAACAAAACAAAAGTAAAAAAAATATGAATTCAGGAACTTAAAAACCTCTCGACCTCAGACGCAGCACAAGGGGCCAAGGGATGTAACTCAGTGGCAGAGTATATCTCACGTAGGACACCTCAGGTTCAATCCCCAACCCCCCAAATTAACCAATTGACTCTTCATTTGGAAACTGACTTTCAATTTCAGACTTTCAAAAATAGGAGTCCTCAGGGTCAGGTGAGAAGGTCCAGGGGGGAAGAAATTTCCTATGGATCCTGCTGACCCTGGTTCGAATCCTGGGCACCACATACGGGCCCCTGAGCACGGAGCCAGGGATAGTCCTTGAGCAATGCTAGGTGTGGCCCCAAACCCCAAATAAATAAGTAACGTACTTCTCAGTGGCCCAGAGATAGCTCAAAGGGTTAGAACAACGCTTTGCAAACATGAACCCAGGTTCGGCCCCTGAGTGCCAGGAGTACAGTGCCCCCCAAATTAATCCTCATATGCCCTTCACTAATTTCCCCAAATGCCAACACCACTTAAGGGTCACGATATAATTATCAAACCTAGAAAATGAACCCAGCCACAACATTCTCAAATTAAGCCAAATGACCAGTTGCCTGGTCAGGAACTATGAGACCGCAGCCGTCACGTCTAGGTGAGTTAAGCAGCCACTCCCTTGGCTGAAGAGCAGAGCCCTCGGCAGGCAGACCAACTCAGGCCAGTTTCCTCCCCTTCAGACCAGGCCCGAGGCAATGTTGTACCTCTTGATGCTTAGTATGAGAAAGTGGGCATCAAAACAGCTCTACCTATTTGGTGGGTCACACCCAGTGGTGCTCAGGCCTTACACCTGGGGGTTCTGGAGGACCGTCCAGGGTAATGTGATAAACTGGGTCAGACGCGTGCCAAGCAGAACCTTATCTGCTGAACTCTCTCTCGAGCAGCTTTTGTTTCTGTTTTGGGGTCACACCCAGCAGTGCTCTGGGGATACTCCCAGCATGCTCAGGGCACCACGGACTGACAGCATAAGCCAGACGGAGAGTCGACATTCCAGCCCTTGAGTCGTCCCCATGGCCCCTAAATCCTGATTCTTTGGTTAAGGAGGAACCAAGCGGGTCTGTCTGTGAAGTTAGCATCTTCCCTTGGTAATTATTATTTTTGGCAAGATAAGCAGATACCTGAGACAATCAAGGGTAAGTGATCATGGATTCATGTTTCCAAAGTGGGCACCCCCACGCCCGGGTCACTACAATGGATGGGCAGAGAGGAGGCAGTAAGGTGAAACGGGGTGGGCTACTTCTGTTCGCTTACAGAAAACTGATTCAGGACTCTGAGGGCAGAGAATATGGCAGCCCGGCAGGAGGGCAGGAATTGGGGCAGCACCCGGTGCTCTGCACAGAGGCCGACAAGGTCTGTGTGAATGATTCTAAGTGCCTTTTGAGTCTTTTCTCTCAGAGTGGCTGGAAGCGGAACTGAGCTGGCACCTGGGCGGAGCACTGGCAGGAGCAGGACTCAGGAAGATGGGGTAGTGCCCACGGGCTCTGAAGCCCTGATGGCAGCACTCCTGTGTGGATGAACAGGCATGGAGCGCGGACCCCAGGTTCCCCGCAGCTCACCACCACTGGCAGGGGATCCCAGCAGCCACATGCCCCAGGTTAGCCCTTACTGCCACATATTACGGAGGAAAATCTCCCTGTGCACCAATTGGCTGGAGAGAGGACTTCCCCCGGTCAGCTTCTGTGGATTGGTGGCCCGCCCAGTATGCCCGAGCCATGCACGAGAGCTGCCCTGGCCCTGTTCCTGGCACCTGCCAAGGCCGCTGTAACCATCACCAGAGGGCCCCAAGGGCGCAAAGACGAGAGCGCAGGAAGCCTGATGATGTCCTCTGGCTGCCCCATGCCACCAAACTTCCGCCATGCCTTGGCCAGAATCCAACAACCAGGGACCAAGACTCCCAAGAAATTAAAACCACCAAAATTTAGGTACACGGGAGCCACGCCCACAAACCACCTCCAACCCGGCCACGCAAGCTCATCTGTTGACCTTGCTCCAGAATCTCATAAATCTTCTTGGACCCACACATGGCTGAATAATTTCAGGTACATCAGAGGGGGCTGCAGTGTCCGCCCAAACAGAGGCCCCGGCAGCTACTTGCCCATGGCCAGTCTCCATCGTTTTCAAGTGGACCTTACTGTGATAATCTGATGAAAATTGGGGTATCAGCGCTTTGTGACTGAAATCTCAAGGCTTTCTCGGAGTTGGGATGAGCTACCGCCCCTACCCTCCCTGCCCCCCTCTCCCCCCGCCACCTCCCTGTACTTCTGGAAGCCTTGGCAGTCACATCCACACCGCAAAGTCATCACCCAGTAAGAAAAAAAAGCTACTCCAACTGTACCTTCCTGATAGAAACACTGAGTTTCTATCAAGTGAACAAGCAAGATGACTACTTAGTACTTGTACTGCAAACCCTAACGCACTGTTGGATTACAGTTCAGGTTTAACACTGGGTTGTCCTTTCCCCTCCGAAGGGAGCTTAGGTTAACTGAGTTAGACCCACCACAGTGCTCCCAATTCCATCAGCACTCCCAATCCTGCTTACCCCAAACCTCTTCTATGTGTTCTTCTTCCCCTACCTGGTAGTCACAAATATCTCCAAGTCAGACACAAAACTTGTAAACTCAAACCTTCTGATGACTCTGGATTTTGTATTTGTAAGCAAAATCTTGCTTTTCGCCTTGGTTTATTTTAGAGCAATGTCCTTTTTGTATTCACGGTCACGGTCACGGTCCTCCCGTTGTTCATCGATTTTCTCGAGTGGGCCCAGTAACGTCTCCATTGGAGACTTTATTGTTACTGTGTTTGGTATATTGAATACGTCACGGGGAGCTTGCCAGGCTCTGCCGTGCGGGCGAGATACTCTCAGTAGCTTGCCGGGCTCTCCGAGAGGGGCGGAGGAATCGAACTCGGGTCGGCCATGTTGGCTGCGTGCAAGGCAAACGCTCTACCACTGTGCTATCGCTCCAGCCCTCCTTTTTGTATAGACACAGGAAGACAGATCATGACATGCTTTTGTGACTCTGAATAATGTTTACTCCTGGGCACCCATCATATTTACTTGACTTAAGCCTCAGTGGCCCTTAGACTGATCTTAATTCCTAACACCCCCAAAAGGTGAGTCCCACCGAGGGACACGGACGGACTTAGGGCAAGCCACAATCTACCCTGGCTTCAAAAGAAGCACCGTAAGAAGTATAAATTAAGAGCACGGTCATGGAACAAACTGTCATGACCCAAAACAAAGTAACTGGATAAGGACCCTGCTGGGCTCAGGAAAGACTAAGCTGGTCTGAGGACTGTGGTCTGGGATACACAGCGAGGTTTCCCCAGGAAGAGCTGCCCATTAGCTTAATCTCGGGCATCGATAAAAGCCTGCATCTCTGGGTTCATACTAAGTGACTAGAAATATTATTAAGAAATGAATCTAATAAGGATTGTTTAAATGGATTAGCACTAAAGGAAAGGAGAAAGCAATACGCCCTTAGGTGGAATTATGCCCTTGGGCGGATCTCCTAGATGAGATACTGTCCTTAGGTGGATCTCCTCAAAGAACTTCCCCTGGAGGGGCTCTACATCTGTTCACCATCTATGATAATATTCAACCACACCTATGTGTAATTGCTACCCCCAACCCTTCATGATTTCTCTCTAATTAAAATTAACGCTGAGAGATCTGAAGAAACGGCCACTCACTACCAACCACTAGTTACCAGCCTGTGGCCCCTGTTCCTTCATCCATCAGCCGGGGTGTGGGGAGTAAGGATGGTTACTGGTCCCAAACCCAACAGAGGATCCCAGGTCACCACGGGAAGGTGACACAGGCAATGCATGAAAAGAAAGAGAAAGAAAAAAAAAAGAAAGAGAAAGAAGAAAAGAGCCTGCCATGGAAGCAGGCTGTAGGCTTTGTAATGGTCTATCACACAGTGATCCAATTAAAAAAAAAAAAGAAAAAGATTAAGTAAAAGAAAAAACAAAACAAAATAACTCCAACAACCAACGTCTAGTAATAACTTTTTCAAACAGGTAGGGTAATACTAGATCAATGTTTGAGAAGCTCTGATCTAGATAGCAAGAAACTATGCTTGAGGCTGGAGAGATAGCACAGCGGGTAGGGCGTTTGCCTTGCATGCAGCCGACCCAGGTTCAATTCCCAGCATCCCAAATGGTCCCCTGAGCACCGCCAGGAGTAACTCCTGAGTGCAGAGCCAGGAGTAACCCCTGTGCATCGCCGGGTGTGACCCAAAAAAAAAAAATTATGCTTTTAAGTTTTTGGCCTTGACAGACAGCTAGTACAGCAGGTAAGTAACTTGCCCATTCCTCAGCAGACCCATGTTCAATCCCCATTACCTCATATGGTTCCCTAAACTCTGCCGGAGTGACCCCTGAGCACAGAACCAGGAGTAAGCTCTGAGTAACATTGGTGTAGCCTCAAAACAAAACAGACAAAAAGAATTTTCGGGGACAGAGTGACAGTAAAGCAGGTCAGCAGGGAGGGTGCTTGCCTTGCACACACTGACCTGGGTTCGACCCGGGGCACCAGATATGGTTCCCCAAACATCTGAAGTGCAGAGCTAGGAGTAAGCCCAGAGCACTGCTGGGTGTGGCTCAAAAACAAAACAAAACAAAACAATCAATCAAACCGCGCACACACACACACACACACACACACACACACACACACACACACAAAAAGAGACTGCTTTCATAAACTTGCTATTTTTTTTTTTGAGGTGCTAGAATCTCACAAACACAAACCATGTCCCTGGACCTACAATATTAACTTTAAAAAAGTATTTATGTAGGGGCTAGAGAGAGTACTGAGGTTAAGGTGTGTCTGGTCCTCAAACCCTGTTAGGAGCGATTTCTGAGCACAGCTGGGTGTGGCAAAAAAGGAAAGGAGAGAAAAATTTGTTTTTAACTATCCCTCCAGCCCCTGGAGTGACTTTTTTTGGGGGGGGGCAGCTTTACTTTAAATTTAAAATAGTTTTGATCCTTGATACAGATCTAGGAGTAGTCTCCAAGCCCACTGAGTGTGGCCCAAATGCTCCCCTCCAAACTCAGTTCAAAACAGATAAGACATATAAAGGCCTCGAGTGGTTTACATGACATGTATATATCATTCTACACAGGAAGGGAATGACAACAGTAGTTCAAAGTAACCCTAGTCCCAACAAAAACATTAAAGCTTTATATACAGGGGCTGCAGTGGGCTGGGCACTTGCCTTGCACAGCTCAACTGGGTTTGAGTCCCACCAGCAGTGATTCCTGAGCAGAGCCAAGAGTAAGTTCTGAGCACTCCTGGGTATGGCCCCCCCACCAAAAAAACAAAAAAAAGTAGTAATAAAAAAGCCCAGAAACTTTTTCTCTCTCATAGGCTGGAGAGGTAAGATGGGAAATAAGGTGTTTGTCCTGCACACCGCCAAGCCCACCTGTTACCCTGGATACTGTGTCCAGTCGCCTGAGAACTGCCAGAGCCAGGAATCACCACAAGGTGTGAGTCCCCTCCTGCCAAAACCAACAAAAATCCAAACAAGACCTGACATATCGGGGCCGGAGTGATAGCACAGCGGGTAAGGCGTCTGCCTTGCACACGGCCGACCTGGGTTCAATCCCCGGCATCCCATATGGTCCCTCAGGCACCACCAGGAATAATTCCTGAGTGCAGAGCCAGGAATAACCCCAGAGCATCGTTGGGTGTGACCCAAAAAGCAAAAAAAAAAAAAAAAGACCTGACATACCTCGATCATGTAGGGCTAACAAAACCCGTTCATATAAGCAGGCTCTGTAGAGGTCTCCAGGAATAGGTTTCCCTGCCCAGCAGTCGAGCTCAAGCTTCTCCGGATCAGGGGCGTGGGGGTCGGGCTCCGCTAGAATGTACCGGTAGCCGTCCTTGTTAAATGGGTGCTCCAAGGGGTAACCATGCGGGGGCAGGCGCTGAGCAGAAAACAAAGGGTCACTGTAGAAAGAAACAAAAGAAACAAATCAAGAATTAAAACTCTCTAGTCCAAGGCTTTAATTCTATTTTTTAATCAAAGGCCAGAGCGACAGTATATCAGGTAGAGTGCTTGCCTCGCACGCGGCCACGCCGGGGTGTGATCCCCGATCCCTGGCAGCCCATATGGTCCCCTGAGCACTGTCAGGAGTAATTCTTTGTGGGAAGCTGGCCCTTTAACTGACCAAGGGCCTGCCTACGTGCCTGTGCTAGGTATGGTCATCTTGACCTACGTGACCCCGCAACAGGCAAAGCCAGTGCTATGTATGGTTATCTTGATGTATGGTTATCCTGAGAGAACATCTGTCATGGCTGTCAGTAACAAGAAGTAACTATCTCATGTCTGGTACGTGATACGTATAAACTTTGTAAATCATATGGACATGGCCCTTTGTGTAACGACCTCGTGTCTGGTACAAGATACGCAAAAACTTTATGCGTGATATGTGAAAACAAACCTTCCTAACCATGTATGGGCACGACCTTTTGTGCAGCTGCCTCACTAATGGATATATACCCTGATTGCCCCCAATAAAGTCTGCCCCTTTTTCTCTCTGTTTCTAAACTGCACTCTGTCTCTTGTGTCTTGTGTTCATTCATTCGGTTGGTCCCTCCTTGCATCTACGGATCCTAGGGCCACCTCCGAGGGCCGGAGAGTGGTTTGGCGGGGCCCCCGCAATTCTTCAGTGCAAAGCCATGAGTAACAATCCCTGAGCATCACGGGGCATGACCCAAAACAAACACACACAAACAAAAAACAGCAAAAAAGACGAAAAAAAGGCAAAAAGAACATCCTTGGGGCTGGATCGACAGTACAGGGTTTGTCTTGCACAAAGCCAGGCAGGGTTTGCTCCTCGACCCCTAAGAGCCCCCTGGGCCCTTTCAAAAGGGATTCCTGAGCACGGAGCTGGGGGTAAGCTCTGAGCACAGTCAAGTGTGGCCCAAAACAAAACAAACAAACAAAAAGGCCTCGCTTACATGACTTCACAAATGTTTTTCCTTTATTCAAACGGATCCTTCTGCCCTCTGCAGGCGAAACAGGGAAATGCAAAGGACTGCCTTTATTTGCAAAGCTGGACTGAACTGCTCTTGGTTTACAGGAACATGAAATGAGAAAGCTTAACTGGGGGGGAGGGGTGCGGGGGGGAGGAAAAAATGAACGGGGCAATTCTCATTAAGATATTTATTATTATATATGAGATGATTAGAAACTCAAGAGATAGGAGTACTTACTCTCTGTTGTCAGTGTAAGAAATGATTGATGTTTGGGCTGGAGACAGCACAGCGGGTCAGGTGCTTACTCTGTTAGCACACGAGCCCTCAGCCCTGCAGGGAGTGATCCCTAAGTACCAGTAGGTATGGCCCCCAGACCACCCTCCCCTAAAAGAAAAGGAAAGAGGAAATGTACTGCTTTTATTACCTCCATAACACTGAATAAGGGAACATACATGAAGTCCAGGGAGAAAGTTAAAGACTTAAAAAATTTTTTTTTTAAATTCTGGGCCATACCTGGCAGTGCTTCCTTAGGACTAACTCCTGGCAGTGCTCAGGGCTCACTCCTGCTTCTGTGCTCAGAGCTGACTCCTGACTCTGTGCTCAGGGCTCACTCCTGGCAGTACTCAGGGCTCACTCCTGGCAGTGCTCAGGGCTCACTCGTGGCTCTGTGTTCAGGGCTCACTCCTGACTCTGTGTCTGTGCTCAAGGCTCACTCCTGGTAGTGCTCAGAGCTGACTCCTGACTCTGTGCTCAGGGCTCACTCCTGGCAGTACTCAGGGCTCACTCCTGGCAGTGCTCAGGGCTCACTCGTGGCTCTGTGTTCAGGGCTCACTCCTGACTCTGTGTCTGTGCTCAAGGCTCACTCCTGGTAGTGCTCAGAGCTGACTCCTGACTCTGTGCTCAGGGCTCACTCCTGGCTGTGTCGGTGTTCAAGGGTCACTCCTGGTAGTGCTCAGGGCTCACGCCCGGAGATCCCAGACTAAACTCTGAATGAACTACAGAACTTGTTCTGGTCCCTCTTTTTCTATCTTTTCTTAAGACGCCTTAACAGACTTTACTTCCCAACTGTCTCAGCAGGAGTACTGCATGGTAAAGTAACTCTTCAAAGCACTGCCAAGTTTGGGGCAAGAGCAACAGTACAATAGTAGGGCACTTGTCATGCGTGCTGCCAACTGGGTTCAATCCCTGGCACCACATGTGATCCCCTGAGCCCGACCAGGACTGACTCTGAAGCACAGAACCAGGAGTAAGCCCTGAGCACCGCCGGGTGTGCCCCCCCCCAAAAAAAGTGTCATGAAGTTTGAGAAAAATTAATTAATATGGAATTAATTTGGGGGTTTGGTTGCTCGGGGCTTGCTCCTGTAGTACTGGGGCCTTAAGCCTGTGCCCGCGCCCGTTGAGCAATCTCTCCAGCCTCTGGCCCGGCCTTAGCCTCAGACATCAGAGATACGAAGGGCACAACTGTCTTCCCTATCCTCAGGAAATATGTTCCAAAACCCTGGTTAGATGCCGGAGACTTCAGATTGCACCCAATCTAAGAGACATCACACTTTGTTCTAGTGTACAGATACACACATCTATGCTAGCTTCAATTTACAATTCAGGCACTCTAAGACACTACACTGTAGCACTGTCCTCTCATTGTTCATCGATTTGCTCGAGCGGGCCAGTAATGTCTCCATGGTGAGACCTGTTACTGTGTTTGGCATGTCAAATACGTCACGGATAGCTTGCTAGGCAATGCAAGTAAAACACAACATTTACAGGGGCCAGAGTGGCATTACTGCAGGTACAGCACTTGCCTGGCATGAAACCAGCTGAGTGATTCCTAACACCCTATATGGCCCCCTGTGTGGTCAGGAATAAGCCCTGAGCGCCACCAGTCTGACCCAAAAACAAAAACAAATTATTGAACCCCTTTAAAATGAAAACAAACTTACTGAAAATTCCTCCAAAATTAAAAAAAAAATCACAGAAATCTCTCAAAAAACATGTATTGAAACTGCCCCCAATATACTTATTTTAAAATACAACAAAAGCAAAAAAACCTTTTAAACACCAAAAAATAGGGGCTGGAGCAACAGCACAGCGAGTAGGGCGTTTGCCTTGCACGCGTCCGATCCGGGTTCGATTCCCAGCATCCCACATGGTCTCCCAAGCACCGCCAGGAGTAATTCCTGAGTGCAGAGCCAGGAGTGAACCCTGAGCGTTGCTGGGTGTGACCCAAAAAGCAAAAAAAAGCAAAAAAAAAAAAAAAAAAACCCAAAAAATAAGTTCGACAACTGTGGGTTTCTCAAAAACCAATATATTACTACAATCTTGTATTACATTTACATATTCAGAAAAAAAATGAGGGGAGGTCACACCCGGTGATGCTCAGGGGTTACTCTTGGCTCTGCCCTCAGGAATCACTTCTGGCATGCTCAGGGGACCATATGGGATTGAACTGGGCAGGATCAAACCTGGGTTGACTACGTGCAAGGCAGATGCCCTCCCCACCGTACTAGCACTTCAGCCCACATATTTTAAATGTCAAATCACCAGTGGTGCTCAAGCATAGCTCCAGGAAGAGGTTAGGGAAGATCCTATAGTGCAGGATAAGACCCGATACCAGCATGCAGAGTACGTGCTCCAGTCCTTTGGGGTTCCCGCCAATCTCTCGGACAGTCTACTAAGACCCAAAGAATACCCAAGCAGGGGCCGGAGTGTAAGACAGCAGGTAAACTGCTGACCTCGCACACAGCCGACCTGGCTTCCCCAGCAATCCAGACGGGCCCCTGAGCACAGAGCCAGGAGTCAGCCCTGAGCATCGCCGGGTGTGGCCCCAGAACCAAATCAATCAACATTCACAGCAGGGGGTCTCCGCCTACCTCCGAGCCTTCTTGGTGGTCCCTGTGGTCCCTCCATCCTGCTGCTTGCGCTTCGCTCCTCTTCCTTTCCCACTGCTCCCGGCGGTAATTCCCCCTGAGGAGAGAAGGCACATCACTTCCGGTGCGCTGAGACTGCGGCGGGCGCCTCGTGGAAACTGAAACCCCAGGGGGCTGCCACTCTCAACACGCATTTGTGTGACACCAACAGGAGGAAAGCAGCTGAGTGCCAGGCTGTGTTACGTTTCCGCCTGTCCTCTCTTAATGAGCTGCAAGGACCAGGCGCCTTCCTGAGGATGTGACACAGATGCAGTTCCACACATTCAGATCCCAAACACCCAGCTGAGAACGACTTCGACTGCCGCATTATTTTTGCAACAACTGCGTTATTTTGCAAATCAACACAAACATCCACAGAGAGAGAATATCCTCGCTGCAGTGGATGCTCACACGTGCTTGAGCTGCACCGTGAATCTCAGCAACATAAGGACAGTATCTGCTAAAGCACTCGACTCCCCAACAGGACACGGGTACATCAAACATGGAAAACGACGACAGAAGAAGGAAAAAGGTGTTTCTCTCCAGTGCCCAAGGCAGAGAAGGGGACTCTGCCAGGCCGTGCAGTGCTGGGCGTGCATCAGCAGCCATCCTCCCAACCGCAAAAACTTACACATTTCCTATAAAAACAATTTAGCAGGGGCTGGAGCGATAGCACAGCAGGTAGGGCGTTTGCCTTGCACGCAGCCAACATGGTCGACATAGGTTCGATTCCCAGCATCCCACATGTCCCCCGAGCACCGCCAGGGGTGATTCCTGGGTGCATGAGCTAGGATCAACCCCTGAGCATCGCCAGGTGTGATCCAAAAAGCAAAAAAAAAAAAAAAAGCCAACAATTTAGCAGGGCTACATTTAGTACAAGTAGGGCACTGGCTGCACACAGTGACCCAAACCCTGGTACCTCATCAACACTTCCAAGCCCTGCCGGAACACAGAGCACAAAGCACAAGTCCTCAGCACTGCCAGGTGTGTGTGTGGGGGAAAAAAACCCCAAAAATTTAGCTGTGAAATGAAGCCACGAGGAATACGACTACCTTGTACATGTCTGAAGCAGTTACTCTAAAATTTTTGTTTATTTTCAATTCCTCTCAGTGAGTTCATTTTTGCCCCCAATCCAGAAAAATGTCCTTAAACTGCAGGAAAACACCTTTATATTAAACAACTGCAGAGGGTACTAAATCTTAGTTTGGGACAAGCTTGGAAATGACCAGCAGTTTTGCTGCAATAAAAAAGAATCAAGACACCAAGGGCAGGTCATATTCTGCACACGCAGGACCAGACTTAAGCAATTGCCTTTCATGATCATAGCAGGCATTATTCACAAAATGCTGCAGTGAGTATCGCTCAATTTTTACGTTAGTAAACAAAAGTAATAATAATTTTAAATTCATCAGCATTTCAATTCCTTCAAGAAAAGTTTTAGGTCTTAAGCAAAACAAAAAAGGTAAAGGTGACTGCTGGCCAGGCCGGGCAGGATATGACAACATACAAGCTCTTAGTTACTACGTCCAACGGGAGCTCTCATTTCCAACTACAGCTACTGCCACCATTTCCACAATGCTTTCGACCTGAAGTTTAGTTTCAGCTACTACCACAAGTCAGCAAAAAGCACTTTCCAAGCCACAAAATACTTAAGTCTGAGGGGCAGAAAGAAGACAAAGGAGAAATTCACCTCCCAGAGAGGCTCCACCTGCAGGAACAGAAGTGGCACCACAAGTTTGTCAGAGTTTAACAGGTACAGGCGGGGTGGGGGTGGGGGAATGGCGTAACAAGAGAAAAACTTCACTTGCTCTTTCCAAACTACCTTAGGACACCCCTGACAGTGGAAGTGACTGTTACTTATGGCACTGCCACGCGGAAAGGCACGGTAATAAAGCCAGGTGTCAGAGAAGAGCTGGCGACCTCGCATCTCGCCAACCCTCCCGAGGTCGCTGCCCGTCACGAAGGGGAGGAATTCCTGCCCGATGGCTCCTGAGGGGGAACATGCCACGCCACGTCATCAAGACGGACATGCTTTCATGCAAATAAAGTCAGACTTTAGAGGCACGAAAGGTCAAACGATGGGCATAGAAAGTATGCTAAATGTTACAGCTGAAGGAAGGAATGAGCGTGAAGAGCAGGACCATCGAAGAAGGGGCAGCAGCGGGGGGCCTAGTTAGTACAAACAGTGAATCTGACCTCCAAACTGTACTTGGTTCATGTTATCGCTTTCACTTGGGAGACCAATCGTGGTGGCAGTGGAAACAGCTCTCCACCACCATCTGTCAACTCCCTGGCTAGCCCCTGAAACTGAGCTTGGGACTTAAAGCCAGTTGTTAAACAGCCAGTTAAAAGTCAACTCCAAAGAACACCCATTCTGGCTAGGCACACTTGGATACAACAGTTCACAAACTTCTCATCCACGAGACACGTGGACACTTACCATTTAGATTTCCACCGGTAGACATGGCGCTGCTCTGCTTTTGGTTATCATAAGCAGGACCGATGTTACTAAGATCCTGGAGGAAAAAAATATCCAAGTAAGGAGGGAGGCTAGGCTGAGGCAGATGTGAGTGGAGTGGCGGAGGGAGAAAAGGCAAACCAAGCCCCCTACAGTGAGCTCCTTGAGAATGCAGGCCCAATGCTTCTCAATTGGTAAGACAAGAACCTGAATCTCTTTGTGTTACTTTCAATTTTCAGTGATGTGAATCAAGTATTTTATGGCACTGCTAAAAAATTCTGCATTCTGGGGCTGGAGTAATAGCACAGTGGGTAGGGACTTTGCCTTGCCTGTGGCCAACCTGGGTTCAATTCCCAGCATCCCATATGGTCCCCCGAGCACCGCCAGGGGTAATTCCTGAGTGCATGAGCCGGGAGTAACCCCTGAGCATCGCCGGGTGTGACCCAAAAAGAAAAAAAAATTCTGCATTCTGCTACTGAACACACAGTGGAAACTGTCTTCCCTCCATTTATGCACAGTAAGGCAATATGGATCTTCACAACAGTTACTTGTGATCCCCCTGGCCCTCTGCTGGTCTACATGGCATAGCATTATTCCAGCTGGATATTTTCACTAGTGAAAACAACAAATACTCCCACACAACTATTTGTGTTTTGGAGCAAGGGTGCACACGTGCAAGGCAGGTGCTCTCTCTGAGCTACATCCCTGGCCAACAATCAAGTTTTTGTTTTGGGCAACACCAGCTAGTCCTTAGGGCTTAGTCCTGGCTCTGCGCTCAGGGGTCACTCCCGGCTGAAGGACCGTGTGTGGTGCAGGTGAGGGGAATCAAACCGAGTGGGGCGCATGTAGCATCTTACCTCTGTACTCTCTCTGGCCCTTAAACAACAAAAATAAAATTCAAGAGCAAAATTTTAGGCAAAAGGAAAGCACAGAGGAGGTGGGGCGGCACGGCTTCTGTGGTGCTGGGACTGAGCCAGGAGCTCCTGCAGGCGACGCTTTTGTTGGGTGCTGGGGAGTTACCTCCCAGCCACCTGAAACAGCACGCTTAAGCTCACATGCAGGAACAGAAGTTAAGAAGGTGACGATGCTATGAAGACATGGGGACGGGCACACAGCAGAGGGCCGCAGTATGCTGAGGAGGCCCACACACAAGCACACCCTGTTTCCAAGACGTCAGAACCAAGGGGAGCACATGGCACATGAACGCACCTGATCCAAGAGTCCAAATTTCGGATAATCTTCCTCTGGGTCCTTACTGCCAGGGTCAGGGTGCTCCTTGACCAAGAATACATCTCTCTCTTTACTCTGAAAAAGGAAAAACGTTATAGAATTACCTGATGATCGACCACCAATGCCAGAAATCAACCCCAAGATGCCATCTCTAGAAAAAGTATTTTCTTGGCAAAAAGCATTGAAGCAGAATAATTTGGGACCAAAAAAAAAAAAAAAGAAAGAAAGAGCGACAGCACAGCGGGTAGGGCGTTTGCCTTGTATGCAGCTGACCCAGGTTCGATCCCCGGCATCCCATATGGTCCCCCGAGCACCGCTAGGAGTAATTCCTGAGTCTACATAGAGCCAGGAGTAACCCTGAACATCGCTGGGTGTGACCCAAAAAGAAAAAAAAAGGGAAGGGCCAAAGATAGTACAGCAGGACAGCGGGGAGGGCGCTTGTCTTGCACACAGAACTTGAACCATATGGGGTCCACCCCCTGGCACCCCATATGATACCACAAGCCCTGCCAGGAATGATCCTGGAGTCCAGAGCCAGGAGTAACCCTGAGTACAGCTGAGTGTGGTCCAAGCCCCTTTCGTTCATAATCTTAACTTAATCCTCCACTTCAGTACACAAGAATGTAATAATTTACTTACAAGATTCTTCAGATGCTCCTTATTTTGTTTTGTTTTTGCTTTTTGGGTCACACCCATTGAAGCTCAGAGATTACTCCTGGCCCTGCACTCAGGAATTACTCCTGGCAGTGCTTGGGGGACCATATGGGATGCTGGGAATAGAACCCGGGTCGGCCGCGTGCAAGGTAAGCGCCCTACCCACTGTGCTATCACTCCAGCCCCAAGATGCCTCTTTGAAAATAAACTGGGGCTGAAGAAACAGTACGGAGGGAAAGGAGCTTGCCTGGCATCCCGTATGTCCTGGAGCAGAGCCTGTTCTCCCTTCCGGGCCCTTCACTGCCCTACTGGCGGGACTACACACAGGCTTGGCTGTGCTGCGGGGCTTGCACAGCTGAGACTGGTGTTCACAGAGGCCTGAACTCTGTGGGTGGGGACTACTGAGGTGCTCTGGGGCTATTGCTGGCTCTGTGCTCAAGGATCATTCCTGACAGGGCTCAGGAGAAAAAGTACGGTGCCAGGTACCAAACTTAGCAAAGAAAGTGACTAAGATCTGTTCAGCTCTAAACGTATAAAACAAACATTTTCATTTCTTTATTCTGATTTTGGGGGCCACACTCCACAGTGCTCAGGGGTCTCTGCTGACTCTGTACTCTAAGAATTACTCTTGGGACTTGAGTGATAGCACAGCAGGTGGAGCATTCACCTTGCAAGAGGCCTGACCCAGGTTTGATTCCCAGCATCCCATATGGACCCTGAGCACGGCCAGGAGTAATTCCTGAGTGCAGAGCCAGGAGAAACACCTGAGCATTGTTGGGTGTGACCACCCCTCAAAAAAAAAAAAAAAAGAATTCCTCCTGGCAGTGCTTGGGGGACCATATGGAATACCAGGGATTGAACCCGGGTTGGCCCTGTGCAAGGCAAATGCCCAGCTCGCTGTGCTTTGCTCAGGCCCCGAAAAGAATCTTTTTTTTAGAACAAAATTTTCAGAAAAAATAAGCTGTTTCCAATTTCAGTATAGAATTATATCAAGGAGCAGTGGACAAGGGTTTCAAAGTCCAGCAAAAACTATACCACTGATGATAGCCTCTTAAACAATGCTCCAGCGCCCAGAGCAAGAGCACAGACAGGCGGGTGTTTACCTCGCATACAGCTGACCAGGGAACCAAGGGCAGCCCATATGGTCTCCCCTGAGAACTCAAGAGTATGGCTCAAAAAGCCAAAAAAAAAAAAAAAAAAAAAAAAGGCCCAGGGAAATGGCTCTCCGTGGGAGGGCACATACTTTACCTGTCTGAGGCCTGCCATGGGCTTGACCTACTGAATCCAAAAAAGGAGACACATAGGGGGTATTGTGCCGCCAGCAGGTCAATCTGTACCTGTGAGGCGAGTGCATCAGCAGTCTCATGGCGCCTTCAGACTTTCAGATACTGTGAAATTGCTGCTGTGCCTTTGGCCAGACCCCAAAAACTTGGGGCAAAGTTAACCAAGAAAGTAAACGGCCAAAAGTTAGGTATGTGGGAAACACACCCACAAACCACCTCCGGCTCAGCTATATAATTGGAGGTACGGCCTCTCTGGTTCCTGATTGAACTGCATTAATGGCCATGATCCCAGAGACTCAGAAACGAATCTCGGAGCCCAGCGGCTTTAGGTAGAAATGCGTCCGGTCCCTGCAGTAGGCTACCGGTGCTGGGCCAACCCAGGTGGGAATAGGTTTCGTGCCTTGGCCTGTTCTGGGCTGCCATCCTTCAGAGGCCACTGGGATAGTTACATTTGGGCCCCCAGTGACGAGACACACAGGGCCTCACGGGATGGGGGTGGAGCCGGGCTTGTCCTCCCCACCCCAACGAGACCCCAAGTCATCGCCCATGAACGGCCTCTCTGGCTCCTGATCAAGCTGCTTAACGGCCATGATCCCAGAGACTCAGAAACAAATCTCAAAACCCAGTGGCTTTTGGCAGAAATGCGTCCGGACCCCACAGTACATTACTGTCGCCTGGCAACCCCAGGGAGAAAAGGGTATTGTCCCTCCGCCTGCTCCCTCTTGGCGGCTTAGTGGCCGTCATCCTCCAGAGGCCATTGGACAGTCAGGCTTGGGCCCACAGTGACGAAACTTGTTGGGCCTCACGGGATGGGCGGGAGCCAGGCCTGTCCTCCCCACCCCAACGAGACCCCAAGTCATCGCCCACAAATGGCCTCTCTGGCTCCTGATCAAGCTGCTTAACAGCCTTGATCCCAGAGACTTAGAAACAAATCTCGAAACCCAGCAGCTTTTGGCAGAAATGTGTCCGGACCCCGCAGTAGGTTACTGTTGCCGGGCCACCCCAGGGGGGAAAGGGTGCTATCCCTCTACCTGTTTCCTTCTGGCGGCTCGGTGGCCGTCATCCTCCAGAGGCCACTGGACAGTCAGGCTTGGACCCACAGTGACAAAACTTGTTGGGCCTCACGGGATGGGGTGGAGCTGGGCATGTCCTCCCCACCCCAATGAGACCTCAAGTCATCGCCCACGAACGGCCTCTCTGGCTCCTCATCAAGCTGCTCAACGGCCATGATCCCAGAGTCTCAGGAGCAGATCTCGAAACCCAGTGGCTTTTGGCAGAAATCCCTCCAGATTTAAGTGTTAAAATTTCAGAATTTCAAAATCCCGCGGCCATTACTGCAGCCATGCGATATCATATGTTATTCATAACCAGCAATAGAAAACAAATTGTCTACTGTTGCCTTTTCAGCAGATCTGAGTGTTGGAGTAAAATCCCAAATAATAATGGTGGGTCTGGTGTCAAAATATTGAATGTAATCAAAGTAGAGAGAGAGTAATGCGGAAATCATCTGCCCCACAGGTAGGGGGAGGGTGTGGGATGGGGGGATACTGGGGTTGTTAGGGGTGGAAAATGGGCACTGGTGAAGATACGGGTGTTTCATTGTATGACCGAGACTTAGACCCAAAAGCTTTGTAACTGCTCTCACAGTGATTCAATAAATAAAATTATAAAAAATGGAAAAAAAAAGTAAGGCGGAGTTTAGGTACAATTCAATCAGCTAATCAGTGGCTGAACAAATAGCAGTACTCCTACAAAAAAAAAAAAAAGGAGACACATGTTGGGGACTCAACCGGAGTCATAACACAGAGGGGAGGGTGCACTGGTTCCACACCCGGCACTTATGGTCCCCCAGCAAAGCCAGGTATGGCCACAAAACAAAACAAACAGAAAGAGATACAATGTGCATCTCACTTTGAGAGAAAGGGTTGAAGGTTGATATTTACATGCAGCTGTGCTACAAACTCTCAGATTTTAAACTAAGTTGTCCTTGGGGCTGGAGCAATAGCACAGCCGGTAGGGCATTTGCCTTGCAGAGGGCGACCCAGCTTGGATTCCCGGCACCCCATATGGTCCCCTGACCGCCGCCAGGAGTAATTCCTGATTGCATGAGCCAGGAGTAACCTCTGTGCACTGCTGAGTGTGACCCCAAAAGCAAAAAAACAAAACAAAAAAAACACTAAGTTGTTCCTAATTGCTTAATTAATTCAGTGCTTACAAACTCACTTTCTAATCATCAAATCTAATCCCTACTTGTCTACTTACCATTGTTTTAACAATGTTATTTGGCCATGTCATTTTTCCAGGTCGCTGTCTGGTTGTCATGAACTCCCAGTACTTATCGATAAATGGTATGATGTCCTAATTTGTAAAACAAAAAAATCAGACTGTTATTTCTACTTTCAAAGCTACATTCACAAAAAATGACATTTTCCCAGAATCAAGAGTAAAACTCCGGATAGTCTTAAGTCACTGTATAAATATTCCTTTCTTCCCCCTTTTGGGTCACAACCAAAGGAGTTCAGGCACAACTTCTGGCAGAGCTTGGAGGATCACACCAAGGTCAGCCAAGTGCAGGCAAACAGTTCACCTGCTGTATTGTATCTCTGGCCCAATGCAGTTCTCTTAAAACACGCTACTTGGGGCTGGAGAAATAGTACTCCTGGTGGGCCCCTAGAGCCCACCAGGAGTGATCCTTGAGTGCAGAGCCAGGAGTAAGTCCTGAGCATCACTGGGTGTGGCCCCAAAACAAAAACAAATACCACCACCAAAAAAGAGAGAGAGAAAAATATCAGTGTAAAGGAGGAGAAGATGGGAGGATAAGCATTGTTCAGTGCAACTTTTTTAAGATTTAAATCAAAGCAGGTGGATATAAATATGCTAAATTAAGTGGGTAAAATGTTGGCCTTGCACATGACTGAACTGAGTTTGATCCCTAGCACTACCTATGGGCCCCATGAGCACCACTGGGTGATGTTGAAACAAACACCCCCTTCTTCATCACGTTCTCCTCAAAAATAACACATATACGACTGCATGCTTTTAAAAGACTACAAATAAGCCAACTGGCATATTATAATGTGTATTCCACAGGAAGTTAGTGCAGCATGAGTGTGATCACTGGAGCTGGATAGTACAGCAGCCCTGCACGCGGCTGACCCAGGTTCGATCCCCAGTACTCCATATGGTCCCTGAGCATCACCAGGAGTGTGAGCACAGAGCCAGAAATAAGCCCTGAGCATCACCAGTTATGGTCCAAAAACAAAACAAAAAACTGACCACTGAATCAGTAGTCATATTTATAAAAATCAGAATGAAATCACTTCCTGCCCTTTTTAGGGGGAGCTGGGGGCTACTCCCAGCAGAGTACTCAGGGTTCACTCCTACAGGCACTAAGGAGACCATGCGACACTGGGGATCAACCCCAAGGGTCCAGCAAGCAAAGCTTGTGCTCCTGTCCTTGGTGGTAACTCCCCAGCCTGAAAGTACATACTGTTACAGACACATTTCCAAGTCCTACCTGATTCTTTGGCAAGATCATAAGTCCATTAATCCCACCCCTACCTTATCTTTGGAGAACATGGTTTTTGGATGCTCATCCTGCGTTCGAGACTGCCATGTCAGGTTGGCCAAAGCACTAAGGCACATTTCCTTCAAGTCTACGAAAAATATAAAGGATGACAGAGTCACCTATAGCATTCTACTCCGACGACCAAAGAATACCAAACCAAGTCACCCACAAACCAGCAACCAGAGCAACAAAGAGCTAAATCACCATTTGGTCTGAAATAGAGAAGGGCAATTATTCAACACTAACCCCCGACCTAACTTCTATCAACTGCCGAGCAGAGGTCTCCTGATTCAGCGGAGCCCATGTTGTGCCCTGCCTCCCATCCCTGGGGTGCTGACCAGAGGACAAACACTGTGTAACCTTCCACAATTTGTTCTTACTTGCTTGCTTGCGCAGAAAATAGGTATTCCCACTATGATGGCACACGTTGCAATGAAAACTGTAGTTGGTCATGAACGGCAGGCAGGACCTGTAGGTAGTCGAATGGACAAATGAGGGAACTCCTGAACACGCAATTCCCCGTAAGAAGTCATCTTCACTCTCCCTTGTGAAAAGTTGGCTGAAAAGTTATTTAAAGGGGCTGGAGCAATAGCACAGCGGGGAGGGCATTTGCCTTGCATGCAGCCAACCCAGGTTCGATTCCCAGCATCCCATATGGTCCCCTGAGCACTGCCAGGAGTAATTCCTGAGCGCATGAGCCAGGAATAACCCCGGTGCATTGCCAGGTGTGACCAAAAAAAAAAAAAGTTACTTAAAAACCTAAAATTTTTAATTTACTTTTTCCAGAGGCCACACCCAGTGGTAAGCTCAGGGCTTACTCATGCTCTGGGCTCAAGGGTCCCTCCTGCTAGAAACTGGGAAACCATATGTGGTACAGAAGACCAAACGGGGCTGGTCCCACACGCGAAAGGCAAGTAAGTGCCTGGTCCCTTGAACCTCCTAAGGGGATTGCACCGCTTGGTGCTGGGGGGCAGTGAGTAGTGCCAGGAACTGAACTCAGGGTCTCAAACGTGCCAGGCACATCTCCATGGTGGACTATCCCTCTGTCTTGTTAATATACTGACTATGTTTGTGTATCTGGAGGTCACACCCTGCAGTGCTCAGGGTGAGGTAACTCAGGGGCTATTTCCAAATTTCCAACGCAGACCTTAGAGGTTGTTCCTGGGGTTGCTCAGGAGGACAATGGGGTGCCAGGGACTGAATCCATACCCTGCATGTGAAGCATGCCCTCCAGCCCACTGAGCTATACTCTTTCCAGTCTGTAAGGCACTCTTAAAACTTAAAGCATTGGGCGGTGGCCTAGAGAGATAGCGCATAAGACAGGGAGTCTGCCTTGCACACAGCTGACCTGGGTTCGATTGCCAGCATCCCATATTGTCCCCAGAGTAGTAGCAGGAGTAACTCCTGAGTGCAGGATCAGGAGTAACTCCTGAGCATCACCAGGTGTGGCCCCCAAACAAATAAGTAGGGGGTGGGGGGACAAGGACTGGGAAAAAATACCAGAGTGCATAAGGATCCTGCCTTACAAGTACTTCACCAGGTTTAACTCCTGACATCCCATATGGTTCCCCGAGCACAGAGTCAGGAGTAAGCCTTGAGCACCGACAAGTGTATCCCCCAAACAAACAACAACAAAAAAACTTTAAAAGGGGGCTTGAGAGATAGTATAGCAGGTATCAGAAGTTTGTCTTGCCCAGTTTCAATCCGCAACACCACATATGGTTCCCTGAGCACTGTAAGCAGTGATTCCTGGGTGCAGAGCCAAGAGTAAACCTTGAATACATCCAGTGTGCCCCCTTCCCATCCCCCCACCCCCGGAATCCCCACCAAAAAAAACCCCACAAGACAAAAAAAAATTTTTAAAAGGAGGCCCAGTGGCTGGAGAGATATACAGCGGGTAGGACTCCTGCCTTGCACATGGTCAATCCGGGTTCAATTCTCCAGAACCCCATATGGTCCCCCAATCCCTGTCAGGAGTAATTCCTGAGTGCAGATTCAGGAGTTAAGCCCTGAGCACTGCCAGGTGTGACAACAAAACAAAACAGGAGAGCCAGAGAGGTAGCAAAGGGTAGCCCATGCCTTGCAGGGGCTGATTCTAGCTGGGTCCCCGAGCACAGCCAAGTGAGCGATGCCTGACCCGCTGCGTGGCCACAAGGCAAACCAAAACAATAACCACAAAGTTAACAACAGACCAAGACCAGAGTTGGAGCGATAGCACAGCAGGTAAGGCATTTGCCTTGCACGTGGCAGACCCAGGTTTGATTCCCAGCATCCCTTATGCCCCCCCAAGCACCGCCAGGAGTAATTCCTGAGTGCAAAGCCAGGAGGAAACCCTGTGCATCACCCAGTGTGACCCAAAAAGCAAAAAACAAACAAACAAAAAAACCCCAACAGACCAAGACCAAAAAGACTCCCTGTTATAAATACCTGAAATTTTGTCACAAAAATTAGTTAAGACCCTGTGGATTACCAGTGGATAATTTAGCACCTGGAAGGTTGTTCCTGGATCTTTTGGGGGAAATAGTTCAGTATGAATTCTACTTTAGTTGAGAGGGAAGACAAAGTAGCTCCTTTACATAATGGCTTTTAATTGTATTAAGTATCTATTGTAGGTGTTAATAACATTGTAAAAAAGCCCCGTGAAAAAGGGGACAGGTGTATAAAGACATTTCTTAAAATTGTAACTAAGGGGCCAGAGAGAATAGTACAGCAGGCAGGTCACGTGCCTATACATGGCTGACCCAGGTCCCATCCCCATATGGTCCCCAGAGTAAGCCTGAGCACAAGCTCATATGCACTCCCACCCCCATCCCTCAGTAACCAGGACCAGGAGAAGCCCAACAGCTCAAAGAGTAGAGAACATAATCCGCATGCAGGAGTCTTGGGCTCAATCCCCAAATAGAGCCAAGAGGAACTCCTGAGCATCACTGGGGGCACATGTGCCAATTCCCCTCACCCCACAAAATTAAAAACGAAGAGACCTGGGATTGGAGAGTAAGCTGGTAGGGAACTCGGCTCGCACCACAAAGCAGACAGGTCGTTCCTCTGCCCCAACCCTCCAGCCAGGAGTGATCCCTGAGCGCAGAGCCAAGAGCAATCCTCGAGCACCACCGAGTGTGGCCCCAAAGCAAACAAAAAAAAACCAACACACAGCTCTGGAGTTAGAGTACCTGCCTCACAAGCTCGATTCCCCGGGCCACCACTCATCGCTCACTGCACAGAGGTGTGCAAAGTCTGCAGCTGAAGGGTGTGGCCTGAGACTGACCGGTCACTATCCAGCACCCAAACCAAACCCAAGCAAGCCTTACAAAAAACGACGCGAAAATACTCACGTGGTATCTATGCCAAAGGTTTCCGCCGTGAACCACTTTGTACATATCCCACACTGGAGCTCTACCTCTCCCAACTGCCGACTGTTCTCCTCATCCACAGAGCCTGCCTGAGTATCCATGGCCTCTGTCGCATCCCCGGAACCTTCCTGCAGCCACAGAGCAAAGGGAACAAAGTCAGCTGACAAGACTCTATAGTTTCAGCCTCTGGAGGACGATGAAAGTTCCATTTGCCTTCAGAACAATCCCAAACTAATCCATACCAGGGTATCCTTTCCATTAGCGGATTCTGTCTCCAAACCACCACTCACATCAACCATATTCGCGTCCCTGGAAGAGAATGAAAGCATCCATTAGTTTTTCAGGCACACCCACCTGAAAATGCCTCTTCCCAGGGATGATGGTCAAAAAAAAAAAAAAAAAAAAGCTCAGAGCAGCTGATCTCCTTCCTCCTACCGCTCTTTCCAGGAAAGTCTCTTCTCCGACAGGAAGCCCAGGCTTGGGAGGGACAGGACCACCAACAACACCCATGCCGGCTCCTGCAGACCAGGACTACACGGGATGGGCCCGATCTAAGGGAGGTTTGCAGAGATGCAGAACCGTGCCTGCTACTCCTTTGGGCAGGAGAGCCAGTGCAGCGGGAGGGCGTTTCCCCTGCACGCAAGGGTTGTGCATATCCCATCGGGTCTCCTGGAGCACCGCCAGGAGTGATTCCTGAGCTCGGAGGCAGGAGTGAGCCCTGGGCACCACCGGCTTCCAAACCAAACCAAACCTGCAAACCAGAACCCAAGTTACTTCCTCCAGCTTGTGCACACAAAGCATCTCTTCTCCGGGCTACAGTGAGGGCCACCAGGACACCGCAGACCCCTGCGGGCGGGGCATCACCCCTGCTCCCCAGAGAGGAAAGGGGTCCTGTCTGCAAAGGGCTGGGCCCGGAGGGGTGGCAGGACTACACGGGAATGGGACTGATCTAAGGGAGGTTTGCAGAGATGCAGAACCGTGCCTGCTACTCCTTTGGGCAGGAGAGCCAGTGCAGCGGGGAGGGCGTTTCCCTTGCACGCAAGGGGTTGTGCATCCCATAGGGTCTCCTGGAGCACCGCCAGGAGTGATTCCTGAGCTCGGAGGCAGGAGTGAGCCCTGAGCACCACCGGCTCCCAAACCAAACCAAACCTGCAAACCAGAACCCAAGTTACTTTCTCCAGCTTGTGCACACAAAGCATCTCTTCTCCGGGCTACAGTGAGGGTCACCAGGCCACGGCAGCCCCCTGCGGGGCGGGGCGGGGCATCACCCCTGCTCCCCAGAGCGGAAAGGGGTCCTGTCTGCAAAGGGCTGGGCCCGGAGGGGTGGCCGGAGGGAGAGACCACCGCGCCCCAGCCCCCCTCACCCCGTCCCGCCGCATCCCGCCCCAGCCCGCCTCACCCGCTCTCCGCGGCCTCCCCGGACCCCGCCTCCGCCGCCGGCGCCGCGGAGGGTCCCTCTCCGGCCGGAGCGGCCGCCACCACGGGCTTCGCGTCCCCTTCTTCCGCCGAGGCTGCATTCGGAGCCGCGGCCGCCGGGCCGGGGGCTGCACCGACCCCGGGACCGAGGCCGGTTCCCGCCGCCGCCATTGCTGCCGCCTCCCACACGTCTCGTGAGAACCCTGTTCTCGCGCGACTTGACGGCGGGCCGTGTCGGAGGGCACCGGGCCGCCCGCCGGGTGCAGAGGCGCTCGCGGCCCCTTTAAAGGGCTGCCCGAGGGGGCGGGAGTGATAGCAGGGTGGGGAGGGCGTTTGCCTTGCATGCGGTCAACCCGGGTTTGATTCCCAGCATCCCATCTGGTCCCCTGAGGACCGCCGGGAGTAATTCCTGAGTGCATGAGCCAGGAGTAACCCCTGTGCATCGCCAGGTGTGACCCAAACAGCAGAATTAAATAAATAAGGCCTGGCCGAGGGCTCGCGGTCCCTTTAAGGGGGCGGAGCCTGCGCATCCCGCCCGGCGTGGGAGGGGCCGGCGGAGCCTTGGCAGGTGACCTGAGGGTGGGCACGGGACTCTGCGGGCTCACGCTGCACGGAGCCGGGCTCCGGGGGCTCCGAGTGAAAGCCCCCCCCATTGGGAGAAGCGTCCGAGCGCCGGCTCCTTGCAGAGCAGCTGGTGCAGGCCCCGCCCCCGTGCCTCGAGTGCAGAGGCAGGGGCAAGCCCTGGCACCGCCCGTGTGGCCGAGCATCTGGACCTCACCCGGGGGGGCCCCGACGGGTAGAGGCGAGGGGGGGCAGGGCGGGCAGGGGAGTGGGTGCAGGCAGGCGGGAGAGGCAAGCACAAGAGGCCAGTGCCGTGAGAGGCGGCGAGCGGGAGCCCCAGAGTAGGAGAGGTGCCGGCGTGAGGACTTAGCACTAGAGAGCACGTGGGATGGGACGGGGCGGGGAGGGCGTTGTCCTTGCCAACCGCCGACCCGGTTCCATCCTCCTCGGCATCCCGTACGGTACCGGTGATTCTGGAGTGCAAAGGCAGGAGCAACCCTTGGGAACCTGATCATTCCCAGGTGTGACCCCCCCCACCCCCCAACAAAGAAAAGAATTAGAAAGTTTGCGGGCAAGAGAGATAGGACAGAAATTAACGCGCATTGACATTGCACACAGTCAACCCAAGTTGGATACGACTTGGCACCACCAGGGCGGAAAAAGCAAGGTTTGGGGGGAGGGCTGGGGGGGGGGGGAAGGGCAGAGTGACCCTGCTGCCTAGGTAGGGTATTTGCCTTGCATGTGGATGTCCCAGGCATTCCATACAGTCTCCAAGCACCCCTCCCCACAAAATAAAGGAATTTAGGAGGTGGAGAGCTTAGGACAGTCGTAGCAGGCAGGTTCTATCCCCATGCCCCATATGGGTTCTCCCAACAGGCCAAAAAGAAGTAATCACTGACGAAATCAGGGGGAGGCCCTGAGCACTGCCAGATGTGGCCCCAAACAAAAATAAAACTGACAGAGAAAGAAATTTAGCATTTGCTTGCTCAGAGAATGGAACGTGTAAGAATGACTTATTTGAACTTAGTCCTATACTAAGTTCCTCCCCCTTCGTGGAGTTTCTTTCCTTTTCTCTACAATAAATCTTTCTATTGGGAGTAGAGACGGAGGACAGCAGGTAGGGCACCTTTAAAGCAGGTATTCTTTAAAGGAATAAAGAATAAATTCCTTTATTTTGCACACAGCCCACCTGGGTTTGATTCTTAGCTTGGATCAGCAGCATCCCGTATGGTTCCCTGAGCACTGCCAGGAGTAACCCCTGACCATTGTTGAGTGTGGCCCCAAAATGAAAAACAACAAAAACCCCAAAATCACAAAGTTTTTCTATTAAAAAAAAAAGCCACAGAGGCAGGGTGGGATGGGGGTTGGGGGGTGGGAGGGATACTGGGACCCGTGGTGGTGGAAAATGGGCACTGGTGGAGGGATGGGTACTTGATCATTGTATAATTGAAACCCAAGCACAAAAATTTGTAAGTCTGCAACTGTACGTCATGGTGTTTCACTAATAAAAATTTAAAAAAAAATGGTTTACCTGAAAATCAGTGATTGTTGGTAGATGAAATCACTGAAGTAGAATAATTCAGAACCTCAGTCCCCAAACTCAGCACAACCCGCCCCCACCTCCCAGGTTCTCAGGAGATCAGTGCTAAGATCGGAATTTCTAGTAAACTGCCTAATGATATGTCTTTCCCACCTTAGAAAAGGAAAGTGCAGCTCTCTATCCAGGATCTACTCTTACCAAGCTGTATCTGTTGTCTCAGGGCAACAACCAGAAGGACACCTGTGCAATTTCCCAGCCGGTTTCACAGTTCCTCATAGTCAACAGAACAGGAACAGCAGGCTGAGGCTCTCCAGGGGGGGCTCTGCCCTGCGAGGGGCTGAGCTTGGGCCATACACTGCAGGCATACCTAACTGAGTTACTAGCTGATTGGCTATTTTTTTTTAAACTGTTGGTACAAGGGGTTGGAGAGATGGTATAGTGAGTAGGGCATTTGCTTTGCACGCAGACAACTTGGGTTCAATCCCTGGTACCCCATATGGTCCCCAGAGCACTGCCAGGAGTGATCCCTGAGTGCGGAGCTAGAAGTCCTGAGCACCTCCAGGTGGGACCCAAAACAAAATAAAAAGATTGTTGGTGACAAGTGCCAAAATTAGGTTGAAACCCCAATTAATCAGTATACTAAACAGCTCAAAAGAATCTTCCCCCAGGTATTAGTTGTAGTGGTGCTTTTAACAAAAGACCACTAAATCTTTTGCTAGTCAGTACTCTGGGAGATTGAATTAAGTCCTTCCAAGGTCAGAGTGTGTGAGCTTGATGAGCAACTCGCCTCATAATGTGGGGTCAAGAGATGTAGTACAGGGGCTCAGGCAATTGCCTTGCATGCGGCCAAGCCTGGTTTGATCCCTGGCACAGTGCTGTACCACACAGGAAGTGGGTCAGGGTAGAGGGGAACTCTATGATTCTTCATGTTTCTTCCATAATCAAGTATGTTTTGGGGGCTGGAGCAATAGTACAGCAGGTAGGGTATACCCACGTGGCCGACCTGGGTTCAATCCCTGGCATCCCACACAGTCATTTACTCCCACAGGAATAATTCCTGAGTGCAGGGCTGGGAGTAAGCCCTGAGCATCTCTGGGTATGACCCAAAAAAGGCCAGAAAGAAAAAAAAAATGATGTACTTGTTTTGGCCATACCCAGGGCTCTTCAGGAGTCCTTACTGGCTCTGTGCTCGCAAGTGATGCTTGGGCACTGCTGATGGGAACAAATGGGGGCCAAGGATGAAATGGGGATAAGTCACGACACACAAGCAAAGCCCTAAACCTGGATGGTTGCTCAGGCCCTTGGTTTTATAGGAGTCACAATCTCCCAAGGCTAGGCCTGACGGGGGTGCGAGCACAGGTGATATCAGGGATCAGACTCAGGGTCCCACACAGCAAGGCCTGTGCTCACCCCAGCGCCAGTGATCCATTTAACTTGTGGGTTTGGTGGCTGCGGGATATTGGCCAACATTAGGCAGTGCTTGAGGGTGGAGCTTGTGGGGCCAGTCGAACCCGGGCCTCTAGCACACAGGCCAATACTTAACCCACTGAACTTATGCTGGCCCTCCAGTAATTCATTTTAGCGAAAAGTCAGGAATGATTTAACTGGAGAGGTGCAGTTAGAATTCACAGTCTAAGGGAATGAGAAGTGAAGAGATGGCAGTAGAAATAATACAGACAAAGCTTTCCATTTCCCCCCTGAAACTTTGGGACTGGAGCGATAGCACAGTGGGTAAGGCGTTTGCCTTGCATGCAGCCAACATAGCCAATCCAGGTTTGATTCCCAGCATCCCATATGGTCCTCCGAGCACCGCCAGGAGTAATTCCTGAGTGCATGAGCCAGGAGTAACCCCTGAGCATCGCCGGGTGTGACCCAAAAGGCAAAAAAAAAAACAACAAAAAAAAAAACCCCTGAGTCATGATAATATGTCTGTTTGAAACGTAATGAGTCAAACTGCTTCAGCGTGTGAAGAGCCGCACACATGTGGTCTGCAGGAGCGGAGAAGCAGATGCTACGTGGAAGGAGGATGAAGAGTTGAGGACTTAGCTAATAAAACAGTTTTATTCACTTGTCAGAGGCTGAAACATAGAAGTTAATGTTTGATGGAACGACGTTCTAGAGAAAGTGGCTCGGATCAGAGCCATAGCACAGCGGGAGGGTGTTGGCCCGGGTTCCATCCCCAGCATCCCATATGGTCCCCTAAGCACAGAACCAGGAGTAACCCCTGAGCATCACCAGGTGTAACTGAAACACACACACACACACACACACACACACACACACAACACATACTACAGCAAAAAAACACCAGTCTTGCATAATAAATACATGGGCAGAGGCCAAGAATATGGCTCAGTAGTGAGACTCAAGCTCAGACCCCCTCCCTCTAGCCCCCACCACCCAAATAAGGAACTAAAATGAAATAGGTGAAGGTTAGAGCCAACTAAATGGGCTGGAGACACGCCTGGCATGCAGAAGGCTCAGGGTCAGCCCTAGGCACCCTATGCTCCTCTGAGCACTGATCCAGGTGCAACCCTGAGCACTGAGCCAGGAGTAGCTCCTGAGTTATCACTGGGTATGGCCCCCAAACAGGGAGCAAGTGTAGTGGCGATGTCACCTGGCAGAGTTGGAAATGTTCGACTTGATTGATGGCCAGGAGGGAATGCAATCATCTCCCAAGGCTGAAGGGAAGGAGGAAGATGATATGAAGGTGTGTGTGCAGTTAGGAGGGGTGAGGGGTCGGGGTGGGGGCGGGTGGTGAGGTGGTAGGCAGGAACAAGGGAACATAGTGAACATAGCGGGGGCTCGCCGTCAGGGGGCGCTATTGATGCTCAGGGGTTACTCTGGGTGGGGCTTGGAGACCATATGGGGTGTGGCCACGTGAAAGGCTGTACTATGGCTCCGACCCTGAGTTCCCCTTTGAAAGAGAATTCTCTGCCCCCTCCCCACATCAGTGAGTGCCAGCGGGAGAGGCAGGGGGCAGCCCACCCAATTTCCTAATTTCTTGGATTAGGAAGCAAAGGACCCACCAGAGTGGAATTCCTTCGCAAGGAAAGGTTATTTAGGGTCACAGACAGCAC